GGTTTTACATGCCCATGACCACTTCCTTTCCCATAAGAAACTAAAATTCTACTGATTACACTCTTATTAAAAATATAGTAGAGTGTTATGTCTTTTTCTTTTATATCTACTAATAAAGCAATAAAGCATCAATAAAGTTTGTATGGGTTTTTCCATTGCTTTTTTTTTTGTTTTTTTCTAACCACACAAAACTATTGGGTATTATAGATGTATCCCTACTAGTGAAAGTTTTATAAACAACTTTATGTTTTTTTTTTTTTTTTTTTTTTTTTTTTTGTCGTCAAACAACTTTATGTTTATAAACAACTTTATGCATACATAAACTCAAATCTCAAAAAAAAATGATTGCATATCTAATGTTCTTTTCTCTTGATCTCCGCTACAATGAATCTTCACAACACTTCTGAGAAAGAAAGGGCGATCAGTAATAAAAAACAATAACCCAGATTTAATCCTCTTGATTTGGCCGTTAACTCGTCATGTCCTAGCTAGGTTATTCTTTCTGAAAAAAAAATAGAGACAAATTCAAACTACAGAACTTCTAAATTTTTTTAGATTGGTTGATATTAATAACACAAGTTATAGGAAAAGAAAAAAATGCTTGCATCCGTGACCTTATATTCACACCGTAATTACACTGCATCTCATAGAAGACAATGAGTGTCACGAAAACTTTTCGTTTTTTACATCTAGTTTTCTAAGCAAATGAGTTTGGATATTGTAGAGACATGAAATTATTTTATGTCGGACATAAGTAATTGATTCCAATATTGTCATTGATTTTTGTAACTGATATTACTGTTGCAAGAAATTATGTTAAGAAATTATAATAATTACTATATGATTTTCGTATTTGTAACTATTACCTGTAGCTGCTAAATGATTACCAGTTTCTGAAATTGATATTATAATTTGGGTTAGACTGTTGAGTCAGAACTAAACAACAACTGATAATAGAAAAACTCACTGGAAGACTCAGAGATGCTAAAGTTACATAAGAGAGAGTGCCTAATATTTACCAAAATCTTCAAGACCTCATTTGATTATACAATGGGATAGATGAGTATTGTTAGGCAATTCGAGTTAAATAATAAATGCGTAAAAGTTTTCTATTTAAGGCTTTCTCATGGCTCTATAAATAGCCACACAACCTCACAAGTCACAAACATCTTTCCACACTTAAATATCAACAAAATAAAAAATGGTCTCAAAGAGCTCCACCACCACCATTGCCCTCATCATCATCTTCCTCATCGCCAGCCTCGCCAGAGCTGACCTCTTCCTCTCGCCTTCACCGGCTACGACCAACGACTTTGGAACGTGCCCTAGAAACCCAACACAATTAGGCGTATGTACCAACGTCCTTCGCCTAGCCAATGTTACAGCTGGCGACACCAGAGCGCGACCGTGTTGCAGTGCCATCAATGGCCTTCCGAACATCCAAGTAGCCGATTGCCTCTGCTATCTCTTCAGGCCACTTCCTTTGGTTTTCAGTCTCGACGAGGCCGTTAGAGAAATATTTTTCGCTTGTAATATGATCTTTCCTATCGGTTTTCAGTGTCCACCCCCTTCAACAGCGATTACCCCTTAATTCCCCTAATTAAGAACCATATCCAGTGATTGCTTGCACTTCCAGTATGGTATTTGCGTATTAATGTTTTTATATGATGTGTGTTTTGTTGTTAAACAAGACGTAATTAAGGACTATTGATGTTGTCATAAAAATCTACTATATATGTATCGAAGAATAATAATGAAATAAAGTGAAGTTACTTTTGTCTTTTTGTCCCCCAGATCATATGTTAAGAGACACAAAACAATTTGAGAAAGTGATATAATCGGATATTGCCCATAATAACCACAACACATGGTTTTTGTATCTTAATTAATTTATTGTTTTAGTGGTTTATATCTCGAAGATATGGACTCTTTTTTTTACAGTAAATACATGTTGTTTTGAAGCGTTTATAAAAATTCTCGAAAAAGATTAATATATTATCATCCAAAATGTACATATATCTAGTTAATTAGGTAAAGAATACCACCCATTAAAAAGGACATGGACATATTTCTAAAATGTAGGCTAATAATTACTCGTTAGTCACCATAGTCGTTTAATGAATGATGGACAGAAGAATGCGACTCCATAGACAATACTATTCGTGAATTAGCATGGGGTTCCAAAAATAAAAAGTAAGCATTTTATATATAATAGGAGAGTTGCTCTCTCCATCTAGGCTATCCACATCAGCAAAAAAATTCATTAAATTGTTTTTAAGATATTTAATACATGACTATTCATATTTCTTTACCTATATTTATATTTTAAATATAAATAAAACTAAGAAAAATACACAACTAAATTACTTAATTAATATAAAGTATGTGATAACTTGATGTTAAAAGTTATCAAAAAGTTTGGATATAAGTAAAAATATATTTAACTTGAAATGGTATATATTTACCTTTTTATTAAAAGATTTATCCTACTTCAAAATGTTATAATGTGTTTACAAGTTAAAAAGTTGAATATAAATTAATTAAGATAATAAAAAACCAATGAGAAATTAGAGTTAGAGTTTGCTTTTTAAAACAAATAGAAGTCGAGTTTTTATATGTAAATTTAATTGCAGTGAAAAACATGAAAATTTTAAGGATTGTGATATGTTTGTTTCCAAATATATTCAATTACAAAACTAACATAATAGAAAATAATCAATGGTCATGAGGCTCATATGCTACCACAACAAAGTAGATATGTATAAAAGTATATATATTATTTTTTTCATCCTATTTCGGTGCAAATGCGATTTTACATTATACTTACAAATTTTAACGTTGAGTCAAATACATATGCATGTTTATAGTCTAACAAAGTAAACAAACATAATATTTATAACATGCTAAAATGTTAGAAATAGAAAATTCGAGATAAAGTGGGGTGTTAACATCCTAATAAAATAAAATAAAAGGACGCGCGATAAAATATAGATAAAATAAACAAAAACTATTGCAAACAACCCCGCGCTTGCGCGGGGCTTCAAACCTAGTTGTACTGATGCCGTTGCATAAACTCAGTGCATGTGGTCCAGGAAATTAATACTATGTAACTGGTCACCATTTTCTGTGTAGTGCGTGCCCAAACGGATGCTCCGATTTATAATAATGCTGTGAAAGTTTAAAAGCCTATGGTAGTCCACCTCATTAATTAAGCTCTAGAAATAACATCTTTAAGTCTAGTTCTGAGAGGCATAAACGGATATACCGGTTGTTTTTATTTTATTTAGAGTTTCCCGAAAAATCAAATTTATGCAACGGCAAATTGTGTACGGGTCCTAGCACGAAGGTGGCTCGCATGTTACCACGAGTGGATGGAAAATTATACGTTATGGGAGGTTGCCTCAAAGACACGATCCAAGTGGAGTTTTTCGACTGAAAACATCTACTTGGGAAGTTGGCCCAATAAGCCCTCGTTTGGAAATACGATACCGAAATCTTGGCCGTGGTCCCGTGGATATGGACAGAGTGTCGTATTCGGTGGAAGTGGATGGAAAGTTTATGGTATGAGTTATAGTGGAGGTCACGTAATCTACGCGAGTCAAAAGCTGGTGAATGTGCGACTTTTAAGATGGCCAATAAGGAAAGTACATGGAAAACACATGTTGTATTACTCTAACGTTGGATTGATGAGTTGAAAAAGAGTATTTAATATATAATAAATGTGAAAAACTTGATTTAAGTTAATATATGTGAAATGTGGTTATAAGGTTAATTGTTTTTTGGAACAATGGCTTTATAACGTTAAAATTTTGTTCATTAGGTTTATAAAATCACGGAATTGATGGATAAAAAATACGATTCAACTAAATATTGTTGTCAGAAGAAAAAACTACTGCGGAAACACGAATAAATTAGGCTATTGTGCAAATTTGATCAGCTCCTATACATTTTACGTAATGAAATACGTACCCACACTTGTAGCTTTTGGTCCTCGAAATGGAGCGCGACTTGCAGATCATTAATGATACGAACGAACTTTACGTCAAAGCCTAAAGTCTATTAGAAAGTTGACATCTCATATCACACTAATGCACCAAAATTTATCACTATCTAGGGTCTTAATATTTTTTCTGTTTTGTATTCAACTTTTGGGCCACAACAGGCGGGTCTGTTAGATTTAGAACAGTCATGCACATAGCCTACTTGGTAACGACTTAGAGACCCATTAGGCATTAGCTCTTACCAAAGGTTAGCGCCTAGTTCTGATAGGCATAAACGGCTATACCGGCTGTTTTTATTTATTTATTTTGAGTTTCCTTAAAACCAAAAATGCATGAAACGGCAATATTTTGTGAAAATGATAACTAAGCTTTTGCTTGATTGTTATTAAAGAGGAGTGTGAGTAACTAAAGGGAGGCTAGGGTTTATATTTATAGTGGTTAGAAGCATTAGTTGGATTGGGGAGTTATTCAAGCATATGTCTTCTTTGTTGTAAACTAGAGGAGACAAGGTATCAATTGGTTTTTCACCTGTCTCTACTCATTTACTAAAAACATCCATAACTCGTCAAACCAACTTGTTTTTACCATAGATAAAATGATTAGAGACCACATATGTTCCGTACACTACCAGGCGTTGCAGTGGAGAGCTGCTCAACCGATGGCGTAACCGACGAGGGATCGCTTCTATACATCTTTGCTCTTTCTCTGTTGTTCTGATTTTCCCAGTTTCCTAAAAAAACTACTCTTTATTTTTGACCAACGCTTTTATAAAGTAGTTTATTTCTCAAAGGATGCAATATATCATAAAGGGATTTATAAAGGGATGGCCAGTGAACAGGTAAAACGCCATCCAAAGTTTCACTTTATTTCAAACACATAATTTTTTTTTTTTTTTTTTTTTTTAGAAAAACAAGTTGCAACATGAACCGAAATAACGGAACGTGTTTGCTTATTTTAGTGATCTTGATATATATAAGATTCTGCATGCATGTTGTATACTTATAAGCTGCAGGTGACACCACCGACTGGTAGCTGTGATACAGTGCAGCTGCTGAGAAGCGTAGTCGCTCTATCAGTGTTGAACGTGGGACCTAGTCCGATTCCGCCGAGAATGGAGTTTCTAGCGGCCTCACAGGCACATTCAGGCGCATTAGGAACACCAACCCCAGCTAAGACATTGCAACAGGTGGCCACATTTGGGCCGGTGAGAGTAGCAGTGTTTTCGTCAAGTAATCTGACCAAGAACTGAGTTCGGTCGCCGTAAGAGGACACACCAAAGGTTCGGCCACTGGATTTTGGGCCGAGACGAAGCCCAAGAAGATGAGGTTGAAGGTGAGGTAGAGAGCCATCATGATTGTCGTCATGTTCTTTGAAGCCATATTGTAATGGTTGCACACAAAAAAAAAAGATTTAGATGATCTTAGTTGGAGAAACAAGGAGTGTGGGTTATTTTGTTTTGGAGGTGAGGGTTTTTTTTTATAGTGTTTCGAGGAGCTTTAGTTGGTTGCCTTACGAAAAGTTAACCGAGACAATTACGGTTCTAATTTCCAAGGGAGTTATTAATTTAATCAGTTCCTATACAAAAATCCGTAGCCACACTAGTAGCTTTTGGTCCCTTTACATGGAGCCCGGATTTGCAGCTCCAGTCATTCTAGAGGAAATTAGGTTTAGCAAGTAAAATTAACTGATATACGAACGAACTTTTCGTCAAGGTCCAAAATCTATAAGAAAGCTGACATTTCGTTGTCGAAAAAAAAAGTTGACATTTCTATGCGAAAGTTGACATTTCATATCACATAACAAAAAAGAGTTGTCCAAAAAGATGAATGTATTTCCTGTGTAGTGCGTGCCAAAACGGAAGCTACGATTTATAAGGATGTTCTGAATGTTTAAATAAAAAAGCCTACGGACTTAACTAGTATGATTCTGATTGAGCCAGTCACTCCTCGTTAATTAATTAAGCTCTAGAAACATCTTTAGGTCTTAGTTTTGATAGGCATAAAACGCTATACCTGGCTGTTTTAAAAAAAAAATTATTTTGAGTTTCCAAAAACCAAAAATGCATGAAACGGCAATATTTTTGTGAAAATGATAACTAAGCTTTTGCTTGATTGTAATTAAAGAGGAGTGTGAGTAATTAAAGGGAGGTTAGGGTTTGTATTTATAGTGGTTAGAAGCTTTAGTTGGGTTGGGGAGTTACTCAAGCATATGTCTTCTTTGTTGTAAACTAGATGAGACAAGATATCAATTGGTTTTTCACTTGTCCCTATATACTCATTTACAGTGTGTGTGCTTTTGAGCTCAACGATTCTCGGCAGCAAGATCACTCTAGACTGGTCAGGTACCCTCCATTCTTTACTCTATTATCGGCTCAACAGGCTGAACTTTGGGCCAATTCGTTTGGCGTTTCAATCCACAATCTACCATCTATGGCCGGAGAGGTATGGCGTCGGTTTTCAAAAGAGTCACAACTTGTCAAGACAACTTGCTTTTACGTTTTACCATAGGCAAAACGATTAGAGACCGCATATACACTACCAGCCATCGATCCCTTGCGGAGAGCTTTGCAACCGATGTCATAACCGAGGCGGGATCTCTCTATATATCTTTGCTTATCTTTATTTTTGACCAACTCTTGTAAATTGTAACTAAGTGTTTTTTGTGTTGATAATTAAAGTACTTATTTCTCAAAGGTTACAATACGTAGAAAATATTATATAGGGATGGTAAGTAAACTAAATCTTTTCATTTTATTTTAAAAATAACATCACTCATTTAAATCTTTTTTTGAGTTTGTTACTATATATATTCACCCAAGATTGTATATATTGCTTGTTTTACTATTCCATCCGAAACAACAGATACGTGTGTAGCTAACGTGAAGAACATAGTAATGGAATATTACCGAACAGGTGAAACGCAATTCAAAGTTTCAGAATCTTATTACTTTAGAAAAACATAGTTGCACCATGAACCGATATTACGAAACGTGTATGCTTATTTTAGCGATTTTCATATATATAAGATTCTGCATGCATGTTGTATACTTATAAGCTGCAGGTGACACTACCAACTGGTAGCTGTGATAAAGGGCAGAGGCTGAAAAGCTCATTCACTCTCCCAGTGATGACGTTGAGACCAAGTCCGAGTCCGCCGAGAAGGCTGTTTCTAGCGGCCTCACAGGCACATTCAGGTGCATTAGGAAGACCAACTCCAGCTAAGACATTGCAACAGGTGGCCACATTTTGGGCGGTGAGAGTAATAGTGACGAGGCCAAGTATGCTGACACAAGGATTGAGTTGGGTCACTGATAGTGGACACATCAAAGGTTCGATCACTGGAGGTTGGGCGGAGACGAACCCCAAGAAGACGAGGTTGAAGGTGAGGTAGAGAGCCATGCTTGTCTTCATGTTCTTTGAAGCCATATTGTGAGGAAAATGCTAAATGGGATTGGATGATTGTAGTTGGAGAGATAAGAAGTGTGAGTTATTTTATTTTGGAGGTGAGGGTGAGGTATTTATAGTGTTTAGAATCTTTATACTTGGTTGCCTTGGAACGTGACTACGAAGTTCCCTAACGAAAAGTTAACTGAGAAAATTACGGCTCTAAGTTCCTCAGAACTATGGGTTTGATTGACTTTTAATTTTTATCAAAAGCTCTTCTATTGTTTATTGTTTTTTGAGTTATTGTTGATTATACTAGCTACTGTCTACTGGGGATGCATTTTTTTTTTGCAATTGTATTCATGCAGCACAACTTTCATGATATCATGATCATTCATAGATACACATTAGATACTTAAAGTTGTTATAACTTTTTTTAGTACACAAAAACTTGACAAAAAATCTCTAAATTAAATAATAAACCAATTCTTTCCAAATCGTGGGTAATTTTTTTATTTTTATTTCATTCATTTTATAGAATCATGGAATTGATGGTGAAAAAATTACGATTCAACTAAATATTGTAGTGTAAAGGAAAAAACATTGCCTTAACAAACCAAAAACAAATCATGAATTCGGCAATTCTGCAAATTTAATCAGTTCATATACATTTAGTTATAGAAATACGTAGCCATACTTTAGTAGTTTAGTTGTAGTTTTTGGTCCCCCTACATACATGGATCCCGGACTCGCAGCTCCAGTCTAGAGGAAATTATGTTTGGCACGTAAATTTAATTATACGAAAGAACTTTTCGTTAAGGCCCACAATTCTGTAAGAAAGTTGGCATCTCCTATCACATTAATGCATCAAACTTTGTAACTAGGGGTTAGTTTTTTTCTTTTAAAACATTTGTACCAATCAACGAAATTAATGATACAGCTAAAAAAGTATGCGACTATACGGACTGTACGGGTTTTTTACTGGACTTATCCAATTAACATGCTTCGATGTAACAAGTAAAATCGATAAATGTTCAAAATATTGTAGGTTTAGCCTAACAATAGTGACTTAGAGCATCTCCAACCCCATGCTAAATATGACATATATGCTATTTTGCCATAATTTTTGCTCCAACCCAATTGCATATGCTATTGCAAAATAGCATCATGCTATTTTTGCTTCTATATTTGGCATGAGATTATGCAATATGCTATTTTGCCATTGAACTTTTTTATTTATAAAATAGTCCTTCAATTTGTAATTACTTTTAATTTAACAGTTTAATTATATTGATTATGATTTATTTAAATAAATAAACAATACTCATAACTTTTTCAAAATATAAATAATATTTATTTCATAGAAATATAAAAACATAACCATAATAAACTTAAAATTTTATTTTTAAAAATACTGAAATTCAAAAAACATAAAACAATAGGTTAAAATCTTTGTTTTCTATAATTTTTATGTAATATGATGTATTTTGTTTTAATATTATAATAAAAAAAAAAATAAAAATATAATTCTGGTTGTTTTTGCAAAAAAAGAAAAACAAATGATTCACTTTGTAAAATTTGAAGAAATCAAGTAGTTTTAACAATTAATAATAAGTTGGAAAAAAATTATAGCATGATATATGGCATGAGGGGTTGGAGAGAAACCCAATGCTATTGCTATATTTTTGCCATTTGCAATAACATATGGCATGAGGGGTTGGAGATGGTCTTAGAAGCCAAAAGCCAAGGTAACTTTGACGCGCGATTCCCATGCATGATCCCATCGCTAACCCTAACCCAATATTATATACATTTACTGAATCAATAAAACCAGCAAATTACTTAATCGATAAAAAATTGTGATATAATTCAATGTTTCAAATCTGTATAGCTATTGTCCAGTTTTTTTAAATAGTCTGTACCACTTCCATCTTAAAGTATCCTATTTTTTTAAAGGCAATAGATCAATAGAAAAGGATTTACTTCAAACGGCAATATTTTTGTGAAAATGATAACTAAGCTTTTGCTTGATTGTAATTAAAGAGGAGGTTAGGGCTTGTATTTATAATGGTTAGAAGCTTTAGGTGGGTTAGGGAGTTATTCAACCATATGTCTTCTTTGTTGTAAACTAGAGGAGACAAGATATCAATTCTTTTTTACCTGTCCCTACTCATTTACAGTGTGGGTGCTTTTGAGCTCAACGATTTTCGGCAGCAAGAGTATTCTAGACCTGGCAGCTACCCGGCTCAACAGGCTGGACTTTGGGCCAATTAATTAGTTTGGCGTTTCAATCCACAATCTACCATCTATGGCCGGAGTCCCAACTTGTCAAGACAACTTGCTTTTACGTTTCACTATAGTCTATAGGCAAAAGGATTAGAGACCGCATAGACACTACCAGCCATCGATCCCTTGCGGAGAGCTTGGCAACCGATGTCATAACCGACGCCATGCGGGATCCTTCCGGATATTTTTGCTTATCTTTATTTTTGACCAACTCTTGTAAGTTGTAACTAAGTTTTTTTGTGTTGATAATTAAAGTACCGTGCGAAGGATAATGGGGGCTCATGGCAGACTTTTTGAAAATGGAGCCTTTATAATATAATTATTTTTATTTAGATGATAAAAAAAGAAGAAAAAAACGAAAAATACAAAAAAAACCAAAAGAATTCAAAACAACACTGTAATCTAAAACTTAAAAATTAAAATAACAAATAAAGATAAAGCCAGACTCGAACTCGGATTCTACCATTTCTAATAAGAAATTAAAGGCACTAGACTACCGTAACTTTAACTAAAGTGGGGGCCCCTATAAACTTTTATACTTTGGGGGCTCACTGCAAATGCACTTTTCACAACACATAGAGCACGGTACTTATATCTCAAAGGTTGCAATACGTAGAAAATATTATATAGGGATGGCAAGTAAACTAAATCTTTTTTAAAATAATTAAATAACATTACTCATTTAAATGATAAATTGTTTGTTTGTTTTGAGTTTGTTACTATACATATTAATTTACCTAAGATTGTATATATAATATCTTGCTTGTTTTACTATTTCATCCGAAACAACAGATACGTGTGCATCTAACGCGAAGAACATAGTAATGGAATATTACCGAACAGGTGAAACGCAATTCAAAGTTTCAGAATCTTATTACTTTAGAAAAACATAGTTGCACCATGAACCGATATTACGAAACGTGTATGCTTATTTTAGCGATTTTCATATATATAAGATTCTGCATGCATGTTGTATACTTATAAGCTGCAGGTGACACTACCAACTGGTAGCTGTGATAAAGGGCAGAGGCTGAAAAGCTCATTCACTCTCCCAGTGATGACGTTGAGACCAAGTCCGAGTCCGCCGAGAAGGCTGTTTCTAGCGGCCTCACAGGCACATTCAGGTGCATTAGGAAGACCAACTCCAGCTAAGACATTGCAACAGGTGGCCACATTTTGGGCGGTGAGAGTAATAGTGACGAGGCCAAGTATGCTGACACAAGGATTGAGTTGGGTCACCGATAGTGGACACATCAACGGTTCGACCACTGGAGGTTGGGCGGAGACGAACCCCAAGAAGACGAGGTTGAAGGTGAGGTAGAGAGCCATGCTTGTCTTCATGTTCTTTGAAGCCATATTGTGAGGAAAATGCTAAATCAGATTGGATGATTGTAGTTGGAGAGATAAGAAGTGTGAGTTATATTATTTTGGAGGTGAGGGTGAGGTATTTATAGTGTTTAAAACCTTTATACTTGGTTGCCTTATAACGTGAAGTTCCCTAACGAAACGTTAACTGACACAATTACGGTTATAATTTCTAAAGGGGGTTATGAGTTGGATTGACTTTTAACTTTTTATTCAAAATCTCTTTTTATTTTTTGAAAAAATTGATATCATACAGCATGGATGTCATACACAATAGATACTTAAAGTTACTATAACATTTTTTAGTGCTCAAAAACTTGACAAAAAAAAAAAAAAAAAAAAAACTTGACAAAACAATCTCTCAATTAAAAAATAAACCAATACTATGTATGTAATCGTGGTGGGAAACAGAAAGTTTTAAAAAAATTCATTAGTTTTATAAAATCACGGAATTGATGGTTAAAAAAAATAGGATCTAACTAAATATTGTCATGTGATGGAAAAAATACTGCCTTAACAAACCAAAAAGTCATAATTAAATACGGCAATTCTGCAAATTTAATCAGTTCATATAAATTTAGTTAGAGAAATACGTAGCCACACTTTAGTTTAGTTGTAGTTTTTTGGTCCCCTACATCTACATGGATCCCAGACTTGCAGCTCCAGTCTAGAGGAAATTATGTTTGGCAAGTAAATTTAATGATACGAAAGAAATTTTCGTTTAGGCCCAAAATTCTGTAAGAAAGTTGGCATCTCCTATCACATTAATGCATCAAACTTTGTAAGTAGAGGTTAATTTTTTAAAAATCATTTACTAATCAACGAAATTAATGATACAGCTAAAAAGGTATGCGACTATACGGATTGTACGGGTTTTTGACTGGACTTATCCAGTTAACATGCTTCGATGTTAAAACCAAAAAATACATGCTTCGATGTAACAAGTAAAATCAATAAATGTTCAAAATAGTGTATGTTTACTTGTTTAGCCTAACAATAGTGTACTTAGACTTAGAGGCCAAGGTAACTTTGACGGTCCCCATGCTGACATGCATGATCCCATCCCTAACCCTAAACCCAAATACCAATCTATATATAGAAAAATTTGGAAAATGGAATTCATGGAGCATGCCCAATTGCCCACCCATCTACTGAATCAACAAAACCAGCAAATTACTTAATCGATTAAAAATATTTGACGTTTCAAATATGTATAGCTAATGTCCAGTTTTTATAAATAGTACCACTTCCATCTTAAAATATCCTATTTTTGGAAAGACAATGGATCAATAGAAAAGGCTTTACTTCAATGGCATTCAACCACATCACTTCGCTCATGAGTTTTAGGAAAATCCGCTTTTGGATAAATCATTGTACATTTGTACCAAAGCAAATGATTAATATAGCAAATAATTGTTAGCCTAAAAAAAGTCATAGTATCAGTACCCCAATCACGTTTGCTAACTTCATGGCTCAATCCAGATTACGAATCTTGTTGAAGGGATTTCTAATATTGCTTTATACTATATTTAGAGAAAACAAAAACGAAGAAAAATAATAAATGAGTCTGCTCATGGGAGTGCTTGCTCTACTAAAAATCTGTCATTATATCACAGAGCGGTGTATATAGCAACTCTAATAATGGATTGCAGTTACATATGGATAAAGGTTACAAAACATGTGTCATGTGTTTTGTTGTACTAAAAATAAATGTATAGTAACAATATCACAAAGGGATACAGTAATATAATTGAAAAAGAAATGCATCTGCACACAGTCTTCATCTATCGATTAAGAGTCGAATGCCTGACCGATAATACGGCATTGTGAATAACTGATTACTACCTCCTATAACTCGAGAATCGCATATAAGAAGAGAGACCAGGCCAGGCCAAGTCAACTATTTTTTTTGACAAATGACTTGAATTAGCCTTAACCAGAAGAAGAGGGTTTGGAAATAGAACACGTGGAAGAATGCAAAGCTATTGACACTCCAAAAACTGCTATAAATACCCACAGCCTCCGTACACTTCAGTTCACCAATTTCCGTACAGTTTCCCTTTTGTGAGGACATAAAATGGCTAAGAACAAAATAGCCCCTATGGGTTCAACAAAAATCTTAGTTCTTGTCCTTGCAATGATCAGCATCCTCTTCCTGGGTCAAACCCAAGCTCAGACACGCCCCAGTCCCCGCCGGCCTCCACCTCCACCTCCACGCCGGCCTCCACCTCCGCCTCCACTCCGGCCTCCACCTCCTCGCCGACCACCACCTCCACGCCAGCCTCCACCTCCACCACCATTAACTTGCCTACCGTGTATTTGTCCAACACTACCACCGCTTCCACCAATCATTCCACCACCACCGCAGACTCCACCTCCGGAAACTCCACCACCATATATTCTACCAATATACACTCCACCACCTGACACACCTCCACCAGATATTCTACCAATATACACTCCACCCCCGTATATTCTACCAATATACACTCCACCACCAGAGATTCTACCAATATACACTCCACCACCTGACACACCACCACAGGAGACTCCTCCACCAGAGATTCTACCAATATACACTCCACCACCATATATTCTACCAATATACACTCCACCACCGGAGACTCCACCACCAGAGATTCTACCAATATACACTCCACCACCTGACACACCACCACCGGAGACTCCACCACCAGAGATTCTACCAATATACACTCCACCACCTGACACACCACCACCTGACACACCACCACCGGAGACTTCACCACCAGAGACTTTACCAATATACACTCCACCACCACCTCCTCCACCATATGTACAGACTCCACCACCTCCTCCACCATATGTACAGACTCCACCACCTCCTCCTCCAAAGTCTCCACCACCCCCTACATGCCCAAGGAATGCCGGCCAGGTAAGGGCATGTTCCAATGTCGTGAGACGTTACGGAAATTACCTAGACTTTGGAAGGGCGCAGCCATGTTGCAACCTCATCCGCGATCTATCTGATGCTGATGCAGCTGCTTGCCTATGCGATTTGGTGCAACCACGAGGTTCACGACCTTCCCCTCCTTCTCGCAATATCACTGTCCTTTGTAGGGCTTGTGGCCGCAGGATCCCCCGAGGCTTCACCTGCCCATAAGGCCATAACCATGTCATCGTCCCCTTCTAATTATCTCAATACACTAAACTTTATCACCACTTAAGCCCACGACTAGATACATGCGACTTTTTGTTTACTTTTGACCAATAATAATGTAATGTAATAAAGGAAAAATAAAGTTTATGCTGAGTTTTAGATTGTGCCGTTATTGTTTTCTTCCTAATTTTACTAAACTTTGGAGTTTATAGATAGGGGAAGTTAGTACAATAATCATTAAAATGCTCAATATAACTCTAACTAAGTCAGAAATTATCCCAAAAAATGATTGAATTGTAAAACCTAAATCTCAGACAAAGTGCATGGGTGCATAATAATGTTCTCTTTTCCTTACTTCAATACTCCCTCTGTTTCAATATACATATAAGGGGTATAAGAGTTTTTTTTTTATATTACAAGGGGTTTTCAAATTTCTGTACAAAATTAAATGTGTTTTTGTTGCTTTTACTTTATGAATTGTGCATATTGTTTTTTCATAGGTTAAAATGTTTTGGAATTGATAATAAAACATATTTTATTTTGAATAACTAAAAAATTAAATGAATTCTTAATCTATGTGCAAAAACCTTAAACCCCTTATACGATGAAAACAACGATAGTATTATAAATTTCTGAACCAACTATAGATCCATTCCAATATGCTAAGTCAATCATATGAAGTTTAAAGTCATGTCCACGCTTTTTAGTTAAAGGTTTAATTTGAAAAAAAAGCCAAATTAGTTTGAGGGTTTTTTTCAGTAAAACCCAAACTTATACCTTTAGATGGTTTGTTGGTTTCCTTGGTGAGAAGTAAATAGAGTGGAATAACGTAACTCATGTTTTAGATACAGACCAGTAACTAGCCTAAAAGACGAAGAAATAAATGAGTTTAAGCATGGCCATGAATGTACACATGCAAAAAACTATAATACGATCATGAGTTTTTTGGTCTGATTGCATTCATCATTTCTTTCGTATATATCTTTTCGTTCCAGTCATGAATGTATTTTTGGGCCCAGATTGGGTCCAGTCATAAACCACTGCATTTTGAGTTTAGACCAACTTTAAACCGTTTCAAACCAAATTTGAATCAATTACTTTGGACTTGATACATCTATTATCTAACTTGGAGAAAATGGTAGCAATAGCTAAACAGGTCAAGCACCACCCATGTTTGACATTTCATTAAACTAGAGACATAGATAGAAATTACTGATAGTGTTTATATAGTTGCAGCATCTAAATGGATCTGACAAATTCTACTGGTTTTGTATTTGTAGACTTATAGTGTTTAGAATCATTAGATGAAGCTTTAGTGCATGCAACCTTAGGATGTGATTAAGCGTTCTCTAACGTCTAACTAGATTAAAATTAGTTGAAATAATCAGGTAAACTATATGTAATTAATATAGTATATGATAGATTACCTAACCAACTTGTTGGTCCCTCAACATGCAGCCCGAGTTGCAACTGCCAAAAGGTTTAATTTGATAGCGATATCTAACCCTCGTCTAAAGTAAAGAGGTTTGGCAACAAAAATGAGTACTAACTGAAAATATTAGGCGAGATTAATTGTAGGTCTTCGATTTCAAGAGGTTCATCGATGAACATCGATCTATATTTTTGCCTGCATCAAATTGCTGGCAAGATCCTATATTCTTGGTGGTATATTTGATCTATCGAAGGGTGAAATCAGGAATTCGATAAGATTAAAGCTTCATAGAATCGATCTTTCCTCTAGTGATATCTTAGAAAATATAATTGTTACGTTTAGTGTAATATACTTATCTATTCTACTTAATTAGTATAAATGAAGAATCAAATATTTTCATAAAACTTGTATGTTTCCAAACGTAAACTAGATTTTTAAAATGGATAGAGTAAGATAACTGAAATAGTTTGAATTCTGTTAAAAAATGTACATCTAGCGTCACAGGAAAATTAAAATAATATTAATTGATGATTAATCTAGAGATATATTAGTATTTTTAATTACTCGTGTATATAATAAAATAAATTAATAACCAATTTTGCTTGAAATACTCAAGCAACACAATGTACTTGTATAGGAATTAGAAAGTGATGTATTTATGTAACACGTAACTAAAACCAATACATTGTCAAAATATGTTCGATATATAGCCATAAGTAATGAGACGTGGCTTCCAAGGTACCTTAGAATGTCCCCATACCTTAGCCCATAGGAAGAAAGCTTTAGGAGATGGAATTCATGGAACGTGCCCACCCATTTATTGAAGGTACCAAACCCACAACTTACTTAACCGATCACAAATTTTCGATAAATCTGACTGTCACAAATCTGTCGGTATTCTCTAATCTTTTCATGGTGATCATTTCTCCTGTTTATCATACTTTTGGAAAGAGAATGCAACAATAGAAAAATCATTTCTTCAATATGGCATTCACTAGAAAAAACTTCACAAAACCCTAACCAATTTGATTAATAGACGTAATCCACTATTAGATATAGCATCGAGCCATCGACGAAAACAAGTGATCGAATATAGCAAATACTCAACTGTAGTTTTTCAACTCAAAATCACTTGGTAAAAAAACGATTTGACTCATATCTTGTATATATCACTTTAAGTCTCAACCCATATTTGATGTTGAATTTCTAAGATATAACTGGTGAGGTAATTTTTCATATCACGGATCGCGGGATGCTTTTTCAAATGAAGAAACAAGAAAGGACTAGTCCAAAACACGTCGGTTGATTCATGGGAATGGTAGCTCTACTTTAAATTGTCACTTTATATCATGGATGATCTATATACTGTAGAAACTTAATCGTCGAATGGAAGTTTTAAAAACAAGGTTGTGTTCCAATATGAAGATCGAAGTTGAGATTGTCGAAGAACACGTCATTATCAAAAAGTGATATTAGTGGTCATGTAATTAAATGGAATAAGATGAACAAAAAGAAACGGAAAATCATGGCATGTAAAAAATCAACCAGCCAACAATTCTTTGGAAAAAAAAAATTCTTTGGAAAATGACTTGAAGTAAAGCCACATGTTAGTATTAACAAGAAAAGGTTGGCAATTAATGGAACAAGTGGCAAAATGCAAAGCTATTGACACTCTAAACAAGCTATAAATACTCACAGCTTCACTACGCTTGAATCCACCAGTTTCCGTACACCTTCCCTTTTGTGAGGACAAGAATTGCCTAAGAACAAAATGGCCTTAAAGGGTTCAAGAAAAACCTTAGTTCTTGTCCTTGCACTGATAATCATCCCGTTCCTCGGCCAGACCGAAGCCCAGGGCCTGCCCAGTCCCCGTCGACCTCCACCACCACCACCTCCACGCCGACCTCCACCTCCACCTCCCCGTCGGCCTCCACCTCCACCACCATCGACGTGCCTACCATGTGTGTGTCCAACATTACCACCAACAACCCCTCTTAGTCCACCAATAACATTACCACTGCCTCCACCAAATAACCAGCCACCAATGTCTCCACGAAACAATCAACCACCTCAAACTCCTCCAATGCGCCCTCCAACCATACCACCTCAGGCTCCTCCACCAAATATCACACCGATAATTACAGACATATTACCAGTGCGACCTCCAACTAGACCACCGCAGACTCCACCAGCACGTCCTCCACTTACACCACCCCAAGCTCCTCCAACCACACCACCACAAACTCCTCCAGTGCGTCCTCCAACCATACCACCACAGGCTCCTCCACCAAATATCACACCGATAATTACAGACATATTACCAGTGCGGCCTCCAACTATACCACCGCAGACTCCACCAGTGCGTCCTCCACTTACACCACCCCAAGCTCCTCCAACCACACCTCCACAAACTCCACCAGTGCGTCCTCCAATAACACCAACGCAAGCTCCACCAACCAGACCACCACAGATTTCACCAATGCGTCCTCCAGTTACACCAACCCAAGCTCCACCAACTACACCACCACAGTCTCCACCACCAGTGCGCCCTCCAGTTACACCACCCCAAACTCCTCCAATCAGACCACCTCAGACACCACCTCAAACTCCTCCAACCACACCACCACAGGCTCCACCAATGCGTCCACCAATCACACCACCACCACCCCCACCGCATACTCCACCTCCACCCCCACCTCAAACTCCACCACCACCTCCCCCACCTGGTAGATGTCCCAGGAATTCCCGCCAAATAAGGGCATGTTCCAATGTTGTAAGACATTTCGGCAATTACCTAGACTTTGGAATGGCGCAGCCATGTTGCAACCTCATCCGCGATCTATCTGATGCTGATGCAGCTGCTTGCCTATGTGATTTGGTGCAACCAGGAGGTCGACGACCTTCCCCTCCTTCTCGCAATATCACTGTCCTTTGTAGGGCTTGTGGCCGCAGGATCCCCCGAGGCTTTACCTGCCCATAATCATTTCCTTATCTACCGTCTAATTACTTCGATAAGCTAAAACTTACTTATAAGTGTTTTCACTTAAACGACAACTAATTAAACCTTGAGACAATTTTACTTTCTACCACTAATAATAATGTAATAAAACATCAATAAACTTTGGGTTTGACTATATCTATTTATTGTTGTGTTTCGAATCACACTAGCTACAACCATTAGAACTTGTAGATATCTCTACGTCGGAAATTATTCGAAGAAATATGGAGCATAAAAATGTATAATTTTAAAAGAATGAAATATTATGCATGTGTGTAATATAAACAAAAATAAAATGTTATAAATTAAAGATACATTAATGATACAAAACCCATAAAAAGTTGCTTTCTGAACCATTTAGAGTATGTTGCTGATGGGTCACTATCCACCATGATGAGCGATGGATGCCGTAACCCTACATCAACGCCTGTCTAAAGCTTTACACCATACCGTAACCCAACGTCAAGAATTGCCTTGCCCTAAATCGCAATCCCATAAAACCAGAATTTAAGATAAGCACACAAAAAGATTAGCCAACAAAAACAAGGACCTAACTGCAAAAGAAGAGTAGATTAAGTGTCCGATCACAGCCACGGTCACAATATCCTTCTTCGGTGCGTGACGATGAAGGGTGACGATGTCACCACACTACACTAGCTGCAAAACAGTCAATCAAGATTATAGAGCCATGCATGTCACGAAAGTTGTTTTTTCCCTTAACATTGTTCTTTCAGCTAAATATAGAGCATTAGCTGTGAAGAGCACGAAGATAACGTATAAGGGACAATGTCATACTTACTTATCAAGTGCTGCTTCAGTTCTAGCTTACAGTGTATCAACAAATTTGAAAAGTCGTCCAGTTTCAACAAAACAAATTTCAAATCCTTAGAATGCCTACAAAATTTTAATCTGAAAGGAACCTTGGTATGTAATCATGAGGGAAAAAATAGAAAAGAATAGCAAAAACATAATCTTAAAGAGTCATTGGAAAATGAGGTTTTTCCAGACTCTGATTCAGTAAATAGTGATATCTGAAAAGCCAGAGGTTATTATTTTTTCTTTAAAATATTGTAGGAAAATAATTTTATGAGAACATATAATACGCTCACAATTGATATATATATCAATAAAAATTCAAACTTATTTACAGGGTTAAATTTTTTTTTATCAAATAACTAATTAAATTTTCTTCACCCATTTGTGAAATCACACGGAAAGTATATATGTACTAAAGATCGTTAAGTGTGTAACAAATCATACATAGTTCTATAGATATATATTGAAAAATTAATATCTTTTTATCACCATATGATTTCGGATCAAGCGAGTGCATGTATTAATACAAACAAAACAGTATATAAAAAAAAACCATATATATAGCAACTTTATACTTAGTTCCAAAACTCTTACGCATATCGCCAGCTAAATACCTTAGGGCTAGAACGTGGTCTGTCCAGATAAATATTACAGTAACCACTATTATTAATCAAAACATTTAGCCTATAATATATGTCATTTAGCTCGCTACTCAAGCCATCGACTTCCACTATAAATACACACTTCACAATCTTCACATTTCTCCACTCCACTACTACTATCAAATTACTTCTTAACTTAAAAGAGTTTCTTCAGGGGTTTTTTCCTTCCTCCTTCAACAAACCAATGGCTCTGAAAAACTCTCTTGCTCTCTTTCTTCTCTTCAACGTCCTTTTCTTCACCCTCACTACAGCCAACCGAAGTACCGATTGTCCTCCTCCACCCCGCAAACACAACAAACACAAACCTAGCCCACCAACCGCACCAGCCACTACCGGGACTTGCCCTAAAGATGCTTTAAAGCTCGGTGTTTGTGTTAACGCACTCAACTTGTTGAACGATGTAACTCTCGGAACTCCTCCCGTGACTCCATGTTGCAGCCTCATCAAGGGTTTGGTCGATCTTGAAGCTGCGGCTTGTCTTTGCACTGCCCTTAAGGCTAGTGTTCTTGGCATCAACCTGTACCTCCCCATCAACCTTAGCTTGCTTCTCAATGTTTGCAGCAGAAAGGCACCAGCTGGCTTCCAGTGTCCCTAAAAATCAATAAGTTGGTGAAGCTTGAATCTTTTCTCGTTTTGTTTTATTTTCTACTTGTTTATTTGAATTGGTGAAGTTCATGAGAAACATCAATGGACTTGTGTTGTTTACTATTTGTTGTATCGCGACTCGCGAGAGCTTCTTGCATGAGTGTTAGTCACACACTGTGTTACCCCTCTTTATTGTAATTTGTTAATTTATCCTTTGGAATAATAAAATCATTTATTTTTATATTTTTCTCAATAATTTCCTCGGTTTAGTAAATACAAGATAAGATAACTAATTCATCATGCTTAGCCCGTGAGTATGCTACGGTTGTTGCACACGTGTATATGATCGGGATTTAATTGAGATGCAATCATTCCATTATAATAAGAATATGGACCATATATCTAAATAGGTAACATACGTACGTGGGGAAAACTGGAAATTTCAACCTTGGGCACACGAGTGAATATCACAAGTTTGGTTTAATCTAAATGTTTCATATGTGAAGTTTGGTTTTTTTTCTTCCATAAAACTCTGAATCGTGAAATATGGAAGAGAGTGTTTCTTAAGATCAATAGAAATATGAGGTATAGAGCACTAGCATGATATCGATCCTCCATGGACTTTTGGATGCGTAGGGCACAAGTATTGGAATGGAAATAATACATAATTCCGAGAAAAATGTCTGTGAGACTCAACTTGTGCGATGTTGTGATGTGTTCATGGTTCTGGACTTCTTAAGCTTTCTCCAAGATAAAGACAAAAAAAAAACTAATAAACGAAAACAAGTGATTATATTTAGGCTCTATCAAAACAGAAATGGTAAGATACAATCCTGGTCTTAGTTTAGTCATGTGGTTTTTCAGTTCCTTGGCTCATCGTCACCTCTATTTACGTACGATTAATCCGCAGTGATATTCCCAATTTTCAACCATCGATCGTTAATGTTTTCACTTTTTACAAACTGATAAATTAATAACGATCATGTGGAAGAAATAATTCGATTTCAGATCTCTCGCGTATCGCCACTAGACGCAACCCGTGAACCATCTTTGGCATGTTCAACCTTATTTTATAGCCCAAATTAATATGAATCCAATTACAATACATATGATTTTCAGAGCTTTAGGGCTTTAATAAATATATCACATCAATAATTTAGATCTGATCGATCGACTTGTTCTTTTATCACGTATATTATGCTGATGCATGGTCTTTCTCGTGAACTCCGTTTGGCAGTTTCAGCCTTAGTTGATTATAGAACTTCTTTTGTTTGTTAAAGTTCGATGCAGTACTTGAAAAAGAAAAAGAAAAAAAAAAAAAAAGCAGCGTTTTTGCAAAACATGACCTTTGGTTAAACATTTACAGTCTTCACATAATTTTTTCTTTCTGAATTGAATGGACTCCATAACATATAGAACTTCTTTTGTTTGTTGAAGTTTGATGCATAACTTGAAAAGAAAAAAATAAAGCAGCGTTTTTGCAAAACATGATATAAAGTACTACACCGAGTCGGTGCAACTTTGATTCTTCAACTTAAATTTCGTTAAACATTTACAGAGTTCTGAACTAAATGGACTCCAAATAACAAATATGCAAGTATCGTCAGTTTTTTTTAGAAAATGCTAGTAATAAACTAGTTCCAGGATCTGGATTTACGCATCAGAAATTCCAAAAAACTAGCTACGTATGTTACATCATTTTACTCTCTTTTTCTAAGAATTTCGAGAAAAAAAAAAGAAAATTTTTTTTTCATTTTCAGAACGATTATTGTAAAATTTGTAGTCTTCACATATTAACCATGCATAGGCCGAAAAGCATCTAAAACATAAGAAATATCAAATACTTCGACTTGGAATTTAATGAAAATTGTATCATAAAAAAAATACTAATGCAAAATACTGTATGTGTTGGAAAAAAACTGCATATTCAGATAAGTATTTTTAGAATACTGTACTTCTTCTTTTTTTTTTTTTTTTTTGAACAACAAGAATACTGTATTTCTTTTTCAAAGTACTGTAATAAACGGTCGTGTTGACTTTTATTTCTTCATTGCTGAACATTTAAGCGACTTTCTAACTACAGTCAGCTACTATCAGATGCATCTTTTTTTTCTTCCCATCATTTTCTCGAGAAAAACAAAAAATATCAGTTTCTCCAGATTTGAAACCTTATCTCTCTATCTCTAATCGATACTGAGAGTATCCTAGAACAAGAAAAAAAAATGGCGAATATTCCGATGGATATCATCACCGATTTATTCCTCCGTCTCCCAGCAAGCACGCTAGTCCGATTCCGCGTCCTCTCGAAGCCTCTCTTCTCTCTAATCGACAGTCCCGATTTCATCTCCTCTCATCTCAACCACACACTCCAAACCGGAGACCACCTCATGATCCTCCTCCGAGGACCTCGCCTCCTCTGCACCGTGAACCTCCACTCACCGGATAAAGTCTCCGACGTCGAGCATCCTCTGAAATCCGGCGGTCTAACGGAGGTTTTCGGCTCCTGCAACGGACTGATCGGTTTATCCAATTCGCCGACCGATATCGCGATTTTCAACCCTTCCACCCGGCAAATCCACCGGTTACCGGCGGAGATAGTCGATTTCCCGGAAGGCTCGACGACGCGCGGGTACGTGTTCTACGGATTCGGTTACGACTCGGCGAACGACGATTACAAGATCGTGAGGATGGTTCAGTGCAAAGGAGGCAGAGCCGACGAGCTGGTTTTCGGATTCCCTTACGAGATCAAAGTGTTCAGCTTGAAGAGGAACTCGTGGAAGAGGATCAAGCGCGTGCTTCCGGCGATTCAATTGCTCTTCTACTTCTATTACCATCTCCTGTACCGTCGCGGGTACGGAGTTTTGGCTAGCAATAGTCTTCACTGGGTTTTACCACGAAGGCCTGGGCTGATCGGGTTCAACACGATCATAAGATTCGATCTCGCCTCTGAGGAGTTTGAGATTCTTGATTTCCCGGAGGTTCTTGCTCATGAGAATATCGATATAGGTGTGTTGGATGGGTGTCTTTGCTTGATGTGTAATCATGAGTTTGCTTACGTTGACGTTTGGGTTATGAATGTTGGAGAGTCTTGGAGTAAGCTGTTTAGGGTGACGAAGCCGAAGAGTGTTGACTCGTTTGATTTCATGAGGCCTCTGATTTGGTCTAAGGATAGAGGGAAGGTTTTGCTGGAGATTAACAATGCGAAGCTGGTGTGGTTTGATTTGGGGAGTAAGAGGTTTAGAACGGTTAGGATTAAAGATTGTGATAGTTCGTATAGCGCGGAGCTGCTTGTGAGTAGTCTTGTTTTGGGGTGTAGAGGAGATCCTGATGAAGTTAAACGCCGGGAAGAGCGTAGAGCTCGAGAAGATAAAATGATGCAGCAGAGTAGTAAGAGGTGGGTTTTTGCTCATCGTCTCTAGTCATTTTGATGTCTTGTTGATATCTTCATTATGTTATATCTTCAGGGATGATTTTCTGTCAAAGGGATTCAAGCTGGTGTTGTGAGGAAAAGCAAAGGAAGTTAAAAAAGACCAGAAACTCATGCTTACAAGGTAATTGTAGGGAAGATATGATTTAGGAGTCACCATCATAGGTTTAACTTTTACAAATTAGGAGTTTGTCCATTAATCTGACTATTTCAAGTGTGTTTTTTTGAATTTTCAGGTGCAAGCGGAGAGGAAATGGCCTTAATTGGTGAAGTATGCATAAATGGAGTTTTGTATTTCGGAGCTAAGTTGGGACAATCTTCTGTGGTAATTTGCTTCAACGTTAGGTGTAAAGCCCCCGCCGCCCCTTCCGGTGAGTCACCCACGCCCTCTCTCGGCCCGTGGGCCCCACCCCTGTCTGATGGTCGGTGCATTATTTTTGGGAGGCTCCGAGAATGTATTTACTATCCCTGCAATCATCACCCGACCTTTTCCCGTTTTTTTTCCTAACTCACACGGTTTCGCAGAGGACTTCCCGAAAGGTCACCCATCCTTCCACTACTCCAGCCCAAGCACGCTTAACTCTGGAGTTCTTTATGGGCCCTTAACCGAAAAGGTAAGTGCACTTTGATGACATAGGTAGCCAAATTAATTCTCTTATTCCTCTCCTTATTTATTACAAACCGGGATGTTACATTAGGTCTGAGAAATTCGGTTTTATTTACTTAGATAAAGACATGAAAGATGATGATTATGATGATGGTCGTTTGGCTTTGTTCAACTACAAAGGTAAATTAGGTTTACGTGAGGGAACACGTTATTATTATGATACAAAACTTGTGTTGTGGACTTGTGGGTTGTAGAAGATGCTGGAAATCACAAATGGTCCAAGCATACCTACGAACTGCCTACTTTAATCAGTCAGAAATGGTTTGTTGGAATGAATGCTGCAGGTGACATCGTGTTGTTGTCGTACAGCTTCCAATTAAAGCTTTACTTTGTTGTCTTCTTCAATCCCGAGAAGAAAACCTTTAAAAGAGTTTATATTCAGGGAGACGAAGAGTTTAAGCATCGTAGGGATCCCACCTTTCTAGACTACGTGGAGAATCTGAGGTTTACGTAGTTAAGTGTGTTCAATTGAGACTTTATGTTTTGGATTTCATGTAGTTAAGGTTTTTTGGAATTTTTTTATTTCTGCTTTACTAGTTTTTTTTTTCCTCTAAATCTGTCATCACATGAGGATCGAACACATGGTTCTGTTTTTTTTTTTTTTGTGTCTTTTGTGGCCTCTCTCTCACTGTAGGCAGTCAATTAGAAATTTGGTGTAGAGAACTTGGGAAACAAATGTTTCTGGAATTTCGCATAGTGAAAGCAAAGCCTTAGACCTTTATTCAGTCCTAAGCATAACGAAAATTTAAGTCTGAAAACTGAAAGTAATATGAGATTGTTCTATGTTTGAACAATGTACAGCTCCTCTGTTTGATTATTATACCAAAACATAAAGCTCAGTTTCAGACAATACACAAACATGCGGATCTAAATTGTGATATCGATAGACGTGTGTTAGATGGGTCAAAGATAACATCATAGACTCCAAAATCTGAAAAATGCATTGTGTATAACACAAGCACAGTGACGAAGAAACAATACAAATGTTTATCAAAAGACATCAAATTTTTACATTAATTGTAAGAAAGCATTGCTATCAATGCTTTCTGTCACTCTCGTAAAAGGCAATGCCAGAAGAAATATGATCACCATACCTAATCTTACTCTGATAATCAATCATCTGATCGTTCTTGGTTGGCAAGACGATGTCTCTTTCTATCAGTCTTAGAACTATGGGATTCCACGTGAAAATCAATCGGGAATCCTACAGGTATCGTGTGGGAAGACATGATTTGGAAGGATCTGTTTTCTGATTACTGATTCCATAACCATTTTTAACAACTTAATGTATTTAGAAAGATACGTACTACGTAGTACTGTCTTCTTGAATGTATTAGATGATTACTACAAATTTTAATATATAAAAAAACAAAACAAAAACTCAAAATTGTAATACGAAAAAGAAACAAGTTGGATTTCGACACGAGTGAGAGCCAAGTCTAAACCGTCCAAACTCCACAAGACTCCAATACACTTAAAATAAGCAAAAGGAAGAGGCAAATGTAGGAAGCCAAAACCCATGTGGGTCGTCAAAGTCTCCCTCTAAAGAGTCAACTCACTGCTGAGCACATTGCACCCTCTGTGCGCCTCCGGGATGGTCATCATCATCTTCGTCATCGTCATAAGCCTCTCTCTGAGCTTGTGCTTTCCTTCTCATCTCATCCTCAATGTTAACATCGTGGAGCGTGGTCTCCTCGCACTCATCTATCTCCATGTCGCTCAGCTGAGTTGTCGAAGGCTTAGGCAGAACGGCTTCAATTGCTTTGGTCTGGTCAGGGCTCAGCGAGTCCGGGAACTCCACCGTGAAGTGGATGTAGAGCTTACCCTTCATGAATGGCCTCTGGTATATCGGCATCCCTTCATCGCTTATTGCCTTGTATGAATCTAATTAACAAAAACACCAAAGATGAGTACTCAAATCATGTTTCAATTTAAATGTGGAACCAACGAATGTGAATACGTACCAGGCTTCACGACTTCGCCAGGATTAGATTTGATGAGAAGATTCCTGCCATCCAGGTGAGTCAGGACAAACTGGAAACCACATAAAGCTTCGGTCAGAGAAATCGTGTGCTCCACGAAGAGGTCTTCTCCCTTTCTCTTGAACTTCGGATGCTCTTTCTGCTGAAGGACGAACACTATATCTCCAGTGACCGTGTCAGGCTGATCCAAAAAAAACAAGGGGTTACAAAGTCAGGAGAAAGAAACAACACAGTAGAGTCAAAGCTGCTTAAGAGTAAATAATATCTGAGAGATAATAGATACCGCTTCATCTGCCTGTCCTTCGAATGTGAGCTTCTGACTGTGTTGCATTCCCTTCTCCACATTGACTTCAAGCACCTTCTTCTCGGGGATAACCTTGTCTCCTTTGCACTGTGGACACCTGTCCTTGTCGCTGATGGTCTCACCCGTGCCTCTGCATTCATTACAAGCATGCTGCATCTGCTGAATCATTCCAGGCCCCAGCTGCCTGATCGTCACCTTCATACCTGTACCCTGACACCCACCGCATTTCAGGGACGCTCCAGATTTCGAACCCTTTCTGCAATAACAAGCCCAAATGAAACACAAATCAGCAACCTTCTTCGCATTTTGTTATAAACATACACAGAAAGCGCGAAAGTAGAAAGTACTAACCCGTTACACTTTGAGCAGAGAGCGTTCCTAGAAAGTGAGAGCTTCTTCATGGTTCCAAGGTACACGTCCTCGAGAGAAACCTTCAAGGGATGAACAACATCTTCACCACGCCTCTGCCTCCTTCCCCGGCTGCTACCACCTATTCAACAACAAAAAAACATTCAAAAAAAGATTCTCGATTGTATTATGAGATTCGAATGAGAGAGTAGAGAGTGTCCAGGAGAGACTCACCTCCAAAGGGGCTCCCACCACCAAAGAAGGAAGAGAAGATATCGAATGGGTCATGCCCACCTCCTCCACCACCCATTCCTTCCTTGAGTGCGTCCTCTCCATACTGGTCATAGATCTCTCTCTTCTCCGGGTCACTAAGAACCTCGTAAGCCTGAGCTAGCTCTTTGAACTGCAATTACATGTATGAATTATTCCAATCAAGATCACAAATTTACACAATACCATTTCAAAACCAAAGCCATACGCTCCAAAAAAAAACTTCACAAAGCAACAGACTTTTAATCCCACAATTGTCAAAGCTCAATCCTTTATAATCTATACAGCTTAAAACAGTTTCAACATATAATCTGAAGCGTGTTTATGAATCTCAAAGCGAGAAAAGATAAACATGCGAGAGAATTTCACTCTTTAAAGTACTAAATAGCTTATTGGTTTTCTTCAGTTGATAGCAGATTATCTCAATTACGTATGTCGAAGCTCAAAATTGTCTTGATTCAACAGAAACCCAGCACGAAATCGAGTGAACCTAGAACTCATACTTTTCAGATCGGATCGAAATTTGAGATTAAAAGCTCAACGAGAGCTCAATCGATCGGAAAATCGGAATCAAACTAAAAACCTAAGTGAGATTAAAAAAAAACAGATGCAGATCGAATTTTCACGGAATCTAAGCGAAAAGAGAAGGGATCTAGAGAGAGAGGAACCTTCTCAGGATCTCCACCCTTATCGGGATGGTTCTTGATGGCAGCTTTTTTGTAAGCCTTCTTGAGATCTTCAGGAGCTGCGGTTTTCGGAACCCCTAAGATCTCGTAGAACTTAGTGTTGTCGCTCTTCTTCGAGGGTCCTCGCCCGAACATCTTTTCTCCGTTCTTAGGAAAGACGGAGAGGTGGAGAGAGAGAGAAACCGGAGAAGATTAGGGTTTTGGGTGTGAAGATGAAGAGAGGCGAATGGATGAGAAAGATGAAGGAATTAGGGTTAAATTAGATTGGGTGAGAGGAAGCTATATTTTGCAAACGAGGAGGAAGAGAAGACTAGGAACATAAGTGAGATTGGTAGGTTCACAACCGTTGATGAAGTTGATTTTTAATCTAATCGACGGTGTATAAAAAAAGGATACGTGACTTTGTCTCTGTGATTTAGCCAATCAAAAGTCAGGATATTTACTTGCAATTTAGCTTCTTTCATATTTTTCTTTTTGAATGCAGTAGATTAGTTTTGCTCTGTATGTGGTAAATTTAGTGACAGACAAACTATTTACAAATTTGTGATTTGGAGTTTATAATTTCGAAAATGATTATATGTATTTCAATTTTTTTTATAAGTGTTAAATTTTGGGTATTTTATATAATATGTTTAGGTTTTAGAGTTTAAGGATTTATAATTAATTAAACTTGATAATTTTTATAAGTGTTGGATTTTTGTATATTATTTGATGTTTATGTGTAAGTGTGATTAGAGTTCATATTGGTTTTAGGATCACTTTTTATGCTATAATACAAAGAATTATCAAATGATAATAAATAATACAAATTGCTTTTGGGGAAATTTCAAAACTACACTTCTTGAAGTGCAAATTTTCAAAAATACACTTCTATGGTGTTTATTTTCAAAACTACATTTTTTTCATGGAGTAAAAGAACTCTAAACCCTAAAATATAAATCCAAAACCCTAAAATATAACATTGAACCCTTAAATCTAAACCCTAAAACCCAAAATCTAAACCCTAATCTAGGATTAGTGAACCCAAACATATATATTAAAATTAGAAAAATGTGTATTTTTGAAAATTTTCACACTATAGGTGTAGTTTTGAAAATTTGCACCCCAAGAGGTGTATTTCATAAAATTTCTCATTGCTTTTTCAAAAAAATGATATATTTGATTTATTTATAAAAAATAATAATTCAAATACAAAGGTTAGTTTTCCAAATTTGAAAATTACCCAAAATTTTGGTGATAGTTTTACAAATTTCCTCTAATTAATTGGTTAGATGCTATGTCTCAAAAAAAAAACAAAATCCTAAACATTTCTTCCATAATCGTCAGGATTCTCAGGAATTAGTCCGGCTAAGACCACCATGAGCACCAACAGCGATTTCGCCGGTAAATATGTCTCCGTATAAATCTGTTTTTATTCTCGAAGCTGTGAGTTGCCGTCACCTGTTTCGGTTCCTCATAGCTCTGTTCATTTCTCTTCGATCACAGATGGTAATTCTAGTTTCTCTCTACGGAGAAAGTTTGCAGCTTTGGAAACCTCGTGAGACAAATCGTACGCAATTGAAGTTCCCTTTAGGCAGCTTTTGTGTCTTAATAATAAAAATATCTTCTTTAGCTGTTACTGGATAATACTTAAAAAGAATCATCTTTTGGTTTTAGGAAATGATGATCACAGTCTTGAGAATCTAGATGGATCACTCTTCGGAAGCTCAGATGAAGAAGAACCAAGTGACACTTACCCTCTTAACAAGGACACAGAGAAGATGCTTGAGGAATTCCACATGGTAATTCTTTCTAAATCGATTCAACTTTTGTATATATGAACATATGATTGATTGATATCTTGTAGAGTGGATACCGTGATGGGATTATTGCTGGAAAAGAAGCTGCTTCGCAGCAAGGTTATAACATTGGCTATAAAGAATCAGTTCTTGATGGCTACAAGTTTGGTATCGTTAGAGGTGTCGTCAGGTAATTTTACTAGAATTTGTACTAATACGTTTTTTTTCTGTTTTGACACTTTTTTTTTTTGAAGTGCGTTGGCTTTCCTCCCGAATGAGGTAAGAGAGAAGCTGGTTGATGAACAAGAAACGAGAGACGAGTTTCAGAAGCTACACGGTTCTGTGCATTGTCTCTCAACGGAAGCTGCGATGAAACTGTTTTATGGAACTCTGATTACAAAGCAAGGAGAAGATAAGAGTGGTGAAGAAGGGTCTGACTCTGGTCTTGGTCTTGGTTATGGTTCTGTTTCGGGTTCCGGTGTTGCTGCCACGACAGACTTGGGAAGCTATGTTGCTGAGCTAAGGTCTCTTCTTGACAAATCTCCTAAGATTTATGCCTCTGGTTCCGACTTGTGAAGCTATGTTACTAAGCCAAGCTTTCTTCTTGACAAATCTCCTAAAGATTGAAGTGAAATGTGCATAGGGGAGGCTTCTTCCTTGTGTAGTTACTGCCAAGCAAAAGCAAGATTAGTGTCTGGTTTCCAAACCAAATTGAGATATAGTGTTTGGTTCTGTTTGGTTCGTTGTCGTTTGGTTTGGAGATATAGTGTTTGTCATTCATCAGAAAGAGCATCCAAAGTTCAAGAGACAGGGAGATTTGGTGCGATTGATATTTGAATGAAAACAGAGTAATTTCTTACACGGACTTTTATAGATAACCGAATAATCCAGAGCTGATCCTCATGTTATTTGGAGAACCAAGTGTCTTTTTAACCATTTTATGCATTTAAACTAGGAATTTTGCAAAGTGAACGTAAAGCCTTGACTTTATAAAAGGGAAAGATGATTTTATTCTTAAAGTTCTTCCTTCAGCAACAGCATATCCTGCAATTTATAGTAACAGAGAGAGAGAGAGTAACACAACATTCAAATGGAGGTATACAAGCTACTATGTTCAGATGTTGATACGTTATATTGTTTAGGTGTTAAACTGTACTTAAGTCAGTATGTCTTGGGCCTAATGGAGCCCATTTAAATTACTTGTGTATAAAGTAAGCAAGTCGAAAATCTAGGAGAGTAACACAACCGAAGTTTAGGGCTTTGATTTCTAGGGTTTGTACAATCCGCAATGGAAAACTTGGAGCAGAAGTTCCAGGAGAACCTATCAGTCACCTCTAGAATTGTAACACAATCTCCCAGCTCGGTAAGAAAATACTCAGACCCAATCCCAGTTGATCTACTTATCGAAATATTCTCTAGACTCCCTAGAAAATCTATAGATAGGTTTCGCTGCGTATCGAAATTATGGAGATACATACTTCGTCGTCCTGATTTCACTTCCATTCGTCCAGAGATCCTTTTCACCGTAAAAGTTGATGGCAAGATATTATTCTGTTCTTCACCTCAGCCTCAAAATCAAGATGATAATTGTACTCTTGTAGCCACACCTTTTCATACGTCTTTCCCCGAATATTTTCCATCTAATAACTGTTCTACGGTTTGTGGATTGGCCCTTCTTCATCGTTATGATAAAAGAAAGGGGATGGTGGTTTGTAACCCTCGCACGGGAGCGTTCCAAACCTTACCCAAACTGCTTATGAGAGACAAAAGTACCTTACTAAATGAGGAGATTGCAAGAATCAGTCTTGGATATGATCCGATCAGCAAACAGTTCAAAGTGTTGTGTGTGACCTCGTCACCTTGTGACAGACCCGATACTCATCAGGTTCTGACATTGGAGTCTGGAAAACCTTTGTGGAGAAGGATCGAATGCGAGTTCCATTTTAAAAAGACTTATAGAATGCGTGGTGAAATATGCATAAACGGTGTTTTGTATTTCGGAGCTTGGTTGGGAGAGACTTATGTGGTAGTTTGTTTCGACGTTAGGACGGAGAGGTTCGGCTTTATTAACTTAGATAAAGACATGTTAGGAGACGATGATGGTTATGTTTGGGGTGAATTGGCTTTGTTCAACTACAAAGGTAAATTAGGTTTACGTGAGGGAACACCTTATCTGAGTAGAGAAGATGAACTTGTGTTGTGGATGCTAGAAGATGCTCCAAATCACAAATGGTCCAAGCATAGCTACCAATTGCCTCGTTTTCTCAGATATAAATGGTTTGTTGGAATGACTTCTACAGGTGACATCGTGTTCTTGTCCTTCCCTGACCACCGATCAAAGCTTTACTTTGTTTACTTCTTCAATCCCGAGAGGAAAACCTTTGCAACAGTCAATATACAGGGATTTGAAGAGTTTAAGACATGGCATACTATCCGCATCTTTCTAGACTACATGGAGAATCTGAAGTTTATGTAGTTAAGTGTGCTCAATGCTTTCATATACATTATTTACTTGAGATTTTATGTTTTGGATTTAAACTCTACTTATGATAATGTTCTAAATTTTTTGATTTCAGCTTTACTAGTTTTTTGCTCTAAACTTGCAATGTGAAAGTAAAGCCTTGGCTTTATTGTATCCTATGCAGTATGCATAACGAAAATTTAAGTCCGAAGAGTGAAACCTGAAAGTAATAAGGAGATTGTTCTATGATGAAAATATTCAACTCCTCCGTTTTTATTCTTTTGCATTAAAAAAAAGCTCAGTTTTCAAACAAAGTTTGATGTTTGGATTATGAAGGAATATAATGTTGAAGAGTCTTGGAGTAAGCTGTTTAGAGTCCGGACTCTAACAAACATATGCAGTGAACCAAGAACAAAGGTTACGTACACTCCCTTCAGCAAATAAAATATTTCCAAATTCATCAAAGACAGATCCGATTGACCAACAAAGAATTGATATACTCCGTAGATAACACTTATCGCTTGTGGAATTTTGATGACTACCTTTGAAACCTGTCGTGGTGCATGGATTTTCTTCAAGCACTCTTCATTCAGTATATTATCGTTGTAGACAACCATTTCACTAAGTTTTCTAATCGCTTCTTTTTTGGTACAGCCATATTGCTTCATGTAACACTTTACCGCAGTAGTTTCACATCCTCTACTCATGTCATCCTAATCAAAGATAATTATATTAAGAATGCGACAATGATAATTGATCGATCACCTGAACGTATTCTAAAAATATTCATGATATGAAAGCTAACTTATGAAATATAACCATGTTTCTAAAAATGTTCATGAAATGAGAGCTAACTTATGAAACTTAATTAACAGTGTATCAGAATTTATGAACAAGAACTGGGAAAAAAAGACTAAAGGTTTAGCCCAACAGTGACTAGAAAAAAGGTAACAAAAGGAAAATCTCTTTGTCTGGACTCTTGAGACACCATAATTTATAAGGTTGACATAAGAACTGGTACATAATCAAAATCTATAAAAGGTATTAATTTTCTTCGTAACTTTGCCGCCAATTCCTTTTATTAATTTTGTTGTTTTCTTAATTTTTTGGATTCACCTAATAATAGACAATTCACGTAAAGAAATTATTGTATGTGTACCTCGAGGCTGGTAATTTCATTTAGTAGACACGTTTTTGTGCATAATGATTTGACGAGTTGTGGTCTAGCTTTGAGCCATGCATTTCATAAGCTTTCTTCTTATAGGTCTTCCTTCAGCAACAACATATCCTGCAATTTAGTTAACACAATTTATAGGAACCGAGGGAGAGAGAGCTTCACAACATTCGAATGGAGGTACAAGCTATGATCAGATATTGATACATTATATGTTTTAGGTTCTTGCTTGATTGAATAAATAATATCTTAACAGATTTTGTCGCACATCTCGTTAAACTATACTTAAGTCTTGGTTTTACTCAGTATGTCTTGGGCCTAATCCAGCCCATTTAAATTTCTTGTACATAAAGTCAGCCAGTCGAAATCCAAGAGAGAAACAAAACCGAAGTTTAGGGCTTTCTTCGTCTTAAGCTGCGCAGAACTGATTTCTAGGGTTTGTACAATCCACCATGGAAAACTTGGAGCAGAAGTTATCGGAGAATCTATCAGTCACCTCAAGAATTGAAACACAATCTTCGAAATCGGTAAGGAGAAAATACTCAGACCAAACCTCAGTTGATATCCCAGTTGATCTACTTATCGATATATTCTCTCGACTCCCTAGAAAGTCTATAGATAGGTTTCGTTGTGTATCGAAGTTCTGGGGATACATACTCTGTCGTCCTGATTTCACTGAGCTGTTTCTAACCAAGTCTTCCACTCGTCCACGGATCCTTTTCACCGTAGAAGTTAAAGGCAAGTTATTATTCTACTCTTCACCTCAGCCTCAAAATCCAGATGATAACTCTACTCTTGTAGCCACACGTTATGATACGTCTTTTCCCAAATATGTTCCATCTGATCGATGTTCTACTGTCTGTGGATTGGCCCTTCTTCATAGTTATATTAAAAGACAGGGGCGGGTGTTTTGTAACCCTGTCACGGGAGAGTTCATAACCTTACCCAAACTGCTTCTGAAAGACAAAAGCACCTTACCCCAAGTGAAAGCTAAGAGTAGTAACCCCAACACAGAAGCGAAAGCTAGGATTTCAAGAATATGTCTTGGCTATGATCCGATCAGCAAACAGTTCAAAGTATTGTGTGTGATCTCATCACGTGGTGGAGGACCCAATACTCATCAGGTTTTGACATTGGAGTCTGGAAAACGTTTGTGGAGAAGGATCGAATGCCAGTTTCATTTTACGGAGAGTCATCGTATGTTTGATGAAATATGCATAAATGGTGTTTTGTATTTCAGAGCTAAGATGAGACAATCTTCTGTGATAGTTTGCTTCGACGTTAGGTCTGAGAAATTCAGCTTTATCAACTTAGACAAAGACATGGGAGGAAAGAAGGGTTATTACGCTTGTGGTGAGATGATTTTGTTCAAAGGTAAATTAGGTATACGGAGGGAGAAGATTATTGGAATTCAGATAAAGAACTTGTGTTGTGGGTTGTAGAAGATGCTGGAAATCACAAATGGTCAAAGCATACCTACAATTGCCTCGTTTAAGCAGCAGTAAACGGTTTGTTGGAATGACTGGTACAGGTGACATTGTGTTCTTGTCGTTCCCGTACGACGACCGATCAAAGCTTTACTTTGTTTACTTCTTCAATCCCGAGAGGAAAACCTTTGCAAGAGTCAATGTTCAGGGATTTGAAGAGTTTAAGAATCGTAATACTATTTCATCTTTCTAGACTACGTGGAGAATCTGAAGTTTATGTAGTTAAATGTGTTCAATGATTTCATATACATTATTTACTTGAGATTTTATGTTTTGGATTTAAACTCTACTTATGACAATGTTCTAAATTTTTGATTTCAGCTTTACTAGTTTTTAAATTTGCAAAGTGAAAGTAAAGCCTCTTGACTTTTATTGAATCCTATGCATAACCAAATTGAATCTGAAACTGACAGTAATAATGAGTTTGTTTATGAAGAAAATATTCAACTCCTCTGATTTGGATTCTGCAAAAAAAAAAAAAATGTCAGTTTTCAGCAAATACACAAACATGCGGACCTAAAATGGAATGTCTATATAGGTGAGTTGAGCTATGTTCATGTTTGGATTATGAAGGGTTTTGGAGTGGGACTAAGCTGTTTAGAGACATCTTAGTACACTCCCTTCAACCAGTATATGCTACTAGTACTACTCTACTCTTGTAGCAACTCGTTATCATACGTCTTTTCCCAAATAATTTCCATCTTTATACTGTAATTCAATATCTGGACTGGTCCTTCTTCAGGGAGGTCGTAAAATAAAGGTGAGAGTGATTTGTAACCCTATCACGGGAGAGTTTCTAACCTTACCCAAAGTGCTTCTACAAAACAAAACCTTACCCGAGGTGAAAGCTAAAGCAAACGTCACAAAAGCGAAGGATATGATTGCAGGAATCTATCTTGGATATGATCCGATCAGCAACCAGTTCCAACTGTTGTGTATGACTTCGTCAGTTGATGAACTTGATCAAAAACCCAATGCTCATCACGTTTTGACATTGGATTCTGGAAAACGTTTGTGGAGAAGGATCGAATACAAATTCCACTCTGAAGAGAGTTTTCTATTGTCTGATGAGATATGCATAAATGGTGTTTTGTATTTCGGAGCAGAGACGGGAGGACAATCTTCCGTGATAGTTTGCTTCGACGTTAGGTCACAGAAGTTCGGCTTTATTAACTTAGATAAAGACATGTTAGGAGAGGATGATGGTTATGATGTTTCTCGTGGTCTGACTTTGTTCAACTACAAAGGTAAATTAGGTATACATCAGGAAGCAACAACATATAGGGAGAGAGATCAACTCGTGTTGTGGGTTGTAGAAGATGCTGGAAATCATAAATGGTCCAAGCATACCTACGAGCTGCCTCCTTTAATCAGAGAGAGTTTTTTTGTTGGAATGAGTGGTACTGGTGAAATCGTGTTGTCGCCGTACAGCTACAGCTACGGCGGATCAAAGCTTTTCTACGTTGACTTGTACAATCTCGAGAGGGAAACCTTTACAAGAATCAATGTTCATGGATTTGAAGAGTTGAAACATCCTTCTATTCGCATTTTCTAGACTATGTGGAGAATCTCAAGTTTATTTAAATGTGTTTCTTCAATACTTACATTCATATTATTTACTCGAAACTTTATGCATATTTTGGGTTTTCAACTCTTTATCATATTGTCCCCTCTTAACGTTGTTTGGATTTTCTGATTACATCAACTTTATAATACAATCGAGTTTTTTTTTTTTTTTTTTTTTTTTTTTTTTTTGTTTGTTTGCTTTAAGTTTTCAGTACATGACCATTGATCACATTGTTCTGATCTCAGATCTGTCTTCTTTTTAATCTCTCACTCTAGGCTCATTATTGTTTTAGCAATAATTTCGCTTCGTGGCAGGAGAAAACATGGATGAATGATCATAAAACACACAGTAATCAGAAAACCAGAGGGTGTAAGAAGAGCAAAACAAATTTATGCCACTCTCCTCTCTATTGCACGAGTTTTCTCTAACTGGTCAAAATAGTGCTAAACTGATTCACGACCAACCAAAGACAACATAAGTGAATATATAGTATATATGTATTAACTCTTTTGAGACTTTGTATGTTGCTAAGTACGGTTTTTCTAGACTTTGTCGTTCCACAACTACCTAATTATCAGTTTCACTATGCTTTTGTTCAAGTAAATTAATAAGAAACGAAGAATTAATATAATTAATGTACAAGATTATAAATGGTAAAATGCAATTGTTCCGAGAACTTTTATCTATAGCACGAGATTGATGTGTTCATATACTGCTGAACTTTTGAGGGATCTAAATTTTGGAAATACAGTATGTTGTTGAGAACTTGCTCTCGATAGATCTAAACTGGGGATAAAAATGTTTCTGGATTTCTGCAAAGTGAAAAGAGAAAAAAAAAAAAAGTCTTGGACTTGTTATATAATCCTCTGCTTAAGTCTGAAAAGTGAAAGTGTATTATGAGATTTCAACGATGAAATGAAAATATTCAATTCCTCTGTTTGAATTCTTTTGCAAATAATAAAGCCTTGTTCTCTATCGTTGCAAAAAGTCACCGACCTAGGTCTGTCTTGGGTCTAATCCAGTCCATTTAGAATTCTTGCATATAAAGTAAAAGAAATCAAGGAAAGAAGGAAGAAAAAAACCTAAAAGAAAAAAAGTCCCAAGGCTTCGACGTTCCTCCTCTCAAAGCGATTCTAGGGTAGTTTGTAAAAATCCGCCATGGAAAATTTGGAGCAGCAGTTCTCGGAGAATATATTAGTCACTTCCAGACGGGAAACACAATCATCCAACTCGGTAAGAGAATACTACTCTGACCCAATCCTAGTTGATCTACTTATCGATATATTCTCTCGTGTCCCGGGAGAGTCTATAGATAGGTTTCGCTGCGTATCTAAATTCTGGAGATACATACTTCGTCGTCCTGATTTCACTGAGCTCTTTCTAACCAAGTCTCCCTCTCGTCCACGGATCCTTTTCACCCTAGTAGCTGATGGCAAGTCATTATTCTACTCTTCACCTCAGCCTGAAAATTTTAATGATAACTCTACTCTTGTTGCCACACGTTATCGTACTTCATTCCCCCAATCTCTGGGGTATTGTTTCTATACTCCAGTCTATGGATTGGCCCTTCTTCATGGATATAATAAAAGAAGTGTGATTTGTAACCCTATCACGGGAGAGAGTTTAACCTTACCCGAAGTGGAAGATAAGAGTAACCGCGACAGAGAAGCGGAAGAAACATTCTATCTTGGCTATGATCCGATCAGCAAACAGTTCAAAGTGTTGTGTGTGACCTGGTCACGTTGTGAAAGACCCACTACTTATCATGTTTTGACATTGGAGCCTGGAAAACCTTTGTGGAGAAGGATCCAATGCAAATTCCATTTTATGGAGAATCATCTGATGAGCAGTGAAGTATGCATAAATGGTGTTTTGTATTTCGGAGCTAAGTTGGGACAATCTTGGGTGATAGTTCGCTTCGACGTTCGGTCTGAGGAGTTCGGCTTTATTAGGATGGGTAATAGAGTACAATCTAATTTTTGTGCTCAGTTGAAGTTGTTCAACTACAAAGGTAAATTAGGTATACGTCAACAAACAAAAAACTATTGGGATAAGGTTGGAGAACTTGTGTTGTGGGTTCTAAAAAATGCTCGACATCATAAATGGTCCAAGCAAACCTACGAACCGCCTAATTTAATGGGAGAGCACATTTTTGTTGGAATGACTAATACCGGTGAAATTGTGTTTTCGCCGTACTACAGAACCTACCGACTAGAGCCTTACTGCCTTCATTTCTACAATCCTGAGAGGTCGAATACTCTGACAAGGGTTGTTATTCAGGGATTTGAAGAGTTTAAGCATCATAGTATTGTAACCTTGTTAGACTATGTGGAGAACGTGAAGTTTATGTAATCAATAAGTGTGTTCAAGTCTTTCATATATATATGATTATTACTTGAGGCTTTATTTGAATTTCAACTCTAATTATAATATTGTTTCTCGTAAGGCTGTTTGGAATTTTGCATTTTAACTTTACTAGCTTTTGCTCTAAATTTGTCATCACATAAGGATTGTCCACGTTGTTCTTTTTTTTTTTTTTTTTTTTTTTTTTTAGCATCTCTCACTCTATAGGCTCGTTATTATTTGATCGAGTTCCACTTCCTTAAGAAACTTCGACATGTGGCAGCAAAACATGGACGCACGGTTGTTATCGTTGTTGATAAAAATTCCATATGATTATGATGATAACTGAAGTAGTTGTGACATCAATTCCTTATGTTCCAAGTAACTTACAAATTGGAATCAGACATACACAGAGCTGAACCAACGTAGATCGAAACCATTCTGTTATTTGCAATACTAGAGATTTAAACCAAATCATACAAAATGAAATCAGGATAAACAATGGAGGATAAAGAAAAACAGAATCATAAATAGCTACAAGCAGAAAACCGATAAGAGCAATTTTGCTTATTATATAGCTACAATCAGTCTTTGTATGTTGCTATCTACGATTTTTCTAGTTTGAAACAATTTTCCATCATTTGTTGTTCCACGTCTACAAGAAAGACGGAGTTTGACGTCGGTTATATATGGGGTTCACGTCGGTAAGAGAATGACGCTAAAAACTTGAAGTCAGTTTATAAACCGACGTGTCATTCAATGACGCAGACCATTGTTGCTTCACTTAAAACACCGACGTTAACCATACGTCAATTGCTGCTTCAGTTAAAAAACCGACGCTAGGCATTACGTCATATATTTAGCATCATTATTTTGTGTGTTTAGGGTCAATTCACAAACGACTCCAACACTTATGTTTATGTCATTTTTAAAACCGACGTAATTGTTAAAAGACTAACGTCACTAATACAACTCATAGTAATAATAATCATAGTAAAATCATTAGATGACATTAGATGACAATAAACTCATAGTAAAATCAAATCTTTTATATAATATCAAGTAGAAAATACAATGTTTTGTTCATGTATAAATGAAAGATTGACAGGAGCGTATGAATGTAATATCAAATAGAAAATACAATGTTTTGTTTCCAACTTTCCGAACGAATCCTATATATCACCTGAACATATCTCACCTGCAAAAACAAAAGTAACATCAGTAATCATGATTTCTAATCATTTCAGTAACCAAAAGTAAAATGAAAGCAAGACCTTTAATACATTTCAACGAAACCAGAATCTCTGTTTCTTCTAAAAGTCTGTTTCTTCTAAAACCAGAGTCCATTCACATATGAGACTACTCAAACAGAAAGTATGGTTCTCTATAACTTAGATAGCCACCATTAAAACAGAATCTGTATCCTAATCAAGACCATTCACATATGAGACTACTCAAACAGAAAGTATGGTTCTCGATAACTTAGCTCTTAACTAAAACAACACACCATAACCATTAGAATTCTTAATATAAATTTGAATCCTAACCTGCTCATTTCCCTGAACTTTCTTCTTTTGCAGTCACCTGTAAAAGATAATTTTGTGTTATCAATAAGAAATTATGAACTTGGAAATGATTCAAATGACTCCAAGATCTCAAAGAAATTACCAGGTTGGGATATTTTTCTCCAACAAGCTTACAAAGAGCATCAGTCTAGATCAGCATGGAAAGAGTAAAAAATATTTGATTTGGCATAACATGGAGTTGGAGATGTGTGTGTACCTTCGTAGAGGAGGTAAGCTATCAAAAGCAGATGACCTACGTGGAGGATTTCTGGAGTCGAGGCTTGATGAGGACTCAGTTTCTAACTCTCTCCTTGAATTAACACCCATTGTCGTCTCTGTCATGGTCTGAAAAAAAAGACAAAAATGTTGATCACTAAAACCTGAGAGCAGAATACAGCAAGACTAATGATACAGGTTTTACAGTGAATCATGATACCTCGAACTGCAAGAAACCTTGAAGAACATCGAGAAGGAGAGGTCAGTCTCCATTTCCGTTGAGCTCATAACCATGGTTGCTACTAAAGTAGCCTAGCTCAGACTTCCAAGAGTCTTTTTGCTGTTCATATGTTTTCAAGATCACCAGATTAGTACGAAAGCAAGATTTTAAGCTCATCCAAATTCTACTGAATGAAACAAACAACTTGATTACCAAATTGCATTCGGGTTGATAAAAATTGAGCGTGTGATTGAGTTGTGCCCAGTCCAAGTATTCACAGATTAACGCAGACAGCAACCTCCCTGCATTCCATTCAACAGTTCAGAGTGAGAACCTAGTCAATGCTCATTTGCCAAGTGCACACAGTACTCAAACTCAAACTGAGATTTCTCGTAAGACAATGCTTTATGAGAAAATTGATCATGAAATTTCACAATCAGACTCAACAAAACCAAATTTGTTCCATGAAGAGAAATTCTTATTCTAAGATCATGAGAAATTCATATGCTCAAAACTAATAGATCGGATGCAAAACTAATAGAGCTTCAAACAACTTGATTTTGACCTCGTTAAAGCTAAAAAAAGATAAATTTATAAGGATCGAAAGTTTACCTTAAATTTGCAGAGAAATTTGAGATTCGCGAGCTCTGAAAATCCTCTTAAATTTCTTCACAAATCCCTTATATCCTTGAACGAAATTCATAAGCATTGTTAGATTCAAGCATAATGTATTCTTCTTCTGTATTTCTTCATAAACACAGGTCAATTTTTAGGAAATTCAAACTTTACGAACCTGAGCTTGACCCGAAATCGGATTTTTAGCCTTAGCTCTGGAGAAAGGATCGAAATCGGATTTCTATAAACTCGAGCAACCTTGTGATTATTGACACTGACGACGATTGTAGAAGTAACGAAATCAAATTTAGGGATGCAGAAAAACGAAAACCCCCATGATTTTGCAGAAATGTTAGAGTTTAGGATTGAAGGAAGAATTTTGCAGTCCTTCATCGCGAGGAAGAAGGATTGATTTGTTCTAATTGATTAATAAAATTTAATAAATTTAATTTTTCTTTTATTTAGCATCGGTTTGGTACCGTCGGTTTAGTAAATGACTCCAAATCCCTTCCTTTTTATTAATTTTATGTCGGTTTAACAAGTGACGTTATTTAAGTGACTTTAAGTGATGGATTTCTTGTAGTGCACAACCTACCTAATTGCTTGTTAGCGTTAGTGGATCAGTTTCACTATGCCTTTGTTCAGGTAAATTAATAAGAAACGAAGAATATAATTAATTTACAAGACTATAAATGGTAGAATGGAATTGTTCCGAGAAGTTTTATCTATAGCACGAGATTGATGTGTTCATATACTGCTGAACTTTTGAGGGATCCACATTTTGGTAAACAGTATGTTGCGATAGATTTAAACTGGGGATAAAAATGTTTCTGGATTTCTGCAAAGTAAAAAAAAAAGAACGAAAAATAGAAGTCTTGGACTTGTTATTCAATCCTCTGCTTAACCAATAACCACACAGGTTATGTCTGAAAAGTGAAAGTATTATGCGATTGTTCAACGATGAAAATATTCAACTCCTCTGTTTGAATTCTTTTGCAAATAGAAATAAAAATTAGTTTGCAAATAACAAAGCTTTGTTTTCTAATAATAAAGTCACCGACCTTTTATGTCTTGGGCCTAATCCAGCCCATTTAGAATTCTTGCGTATAAATCAAGGAAAGAAGGAAGCTGAAGTCCCAAGGCTTCGACGTAGGGTTTGTAAAAAAATCCAGAATGAAAAATTTGGAGCAGCAGTTCTCGGAGAATCTATTAGTCACTTCAAGACATGAAACACAATCGTTGAGCTCGGTAAGAGAATACTACTCAGACTCGATCCCCGTTGATCTACTCATCGATATATTCTCACGACTCCCTAGAAAGTCTATAGATAGGTTTCGTTGCGTATCAAAATTATGGAAATACATACTTCGTCGTCCTGACTTCACTGAGTTGTTTCTGACTAAGTCTTCCACTCGTCCACGCCTCCTTTTCACCTTAAAAGTTGATGGCAAGTTATTATTCTACTCTTTGCCTCAACCTCAAAATCCAAACAAGAACTCTACTCTTGTGGCCACGCGTTATCATACGTCTTTTCCCGAATATATTCCATCTGGTAACTGTACTCCAGTATGTGGATTGGTCCTTCTTGAGGGAGGTTATGTAAGAAAGGTGCGAGATATTAAAAGAAAGGTGCGAGTGATTTGTAACCCTATTACGGGAACGTTCCTAACCTTACCCCAAGGTGCTTCTAAAAGACAAAACTTTACCCCAAGTGAAAGCTAAGAGTAATTACCCCAACACTGCAGAACCGAGAGCTACGATTGGAGGTGTCTATCTTGGGTATGACCCGATCAGCAGACAGTTCAAAGTGTTGTGTATGACTACATCAGTTGATGAAAGACCCAATACTCATCAGGTTTTGACATTGGAGTCTGGAAAACGTTTATGGAGAAGGATCGAGCGCAAAATCCCTTTTGTAGAGACTGATAGAACGGATGGTGATATATGCATAAATGGTGTTTTGTATTTCGGATCTGAGACGAGAACATCTTTTGTGGTAGTTTGCTTCGACGTTAGGACGGAGAAGCTCGGCTCTATTAACATAGATAAAGATATGTTAGGAAATAAAAAGGGTTATGTTTGTGGTGAATTGGCTTTGTTCAACTACAAAGGTAAATTAGGTATACGTAAAAAAATAGAAGGTTGGCATTGGAATAGATACAGAGATCCACTTGTGTTGTGGGTACTAGAAGATGCTGGAAATCATAAATGGTCCAAACATACCTACGAATTGCCTAGTTTAATTAGAGGGAAGTGGTTTGTTGGGATGGCTGCTACAGGTGAAATCGTGTTGTCCTCGTACAAGAACGACGACCGATCAAACCTTTTCTGCGTTTACTTCTACAATATCGTGAGGAAAGACTTTACAACCGTCAGCATTCAAGGATTTGAAGAGTTTAAACATGTTTGGATTGACATTTTTTTAGACTACGTGGAGAATCTCAAGTTTATGTAAGCGTGTGTTCAACGCTTTCATGTATTATTTTACTTTTAGACTTTATACTTACATATTGTTCGTAATGTTATTTGGATTTCATCTACTCTATCTTAAGTTTTCATAACACTGAACACATTAATTAGTCTGTTTTTCGATCTCTACTTTTTGTCACTCATTTTTTTCTCACTCTAGGCTCATTATTGTTTGATACAGATTGCACGTTTTAGCAATTTCGCAGAAAAACATGGACGAATGGTTGTTGTTGATAACTCTTAAGTAGTTGTGACATCACATGTTCGTGGTTCACCAACGATGTGTTGGTTACATCCACGGGCAAAGGAGACTGATTTATTGATGGAGGCAGAAAGTTTCAGAATACATCAACATTAGGATAACGAAGTTACTTATAGGAAAGACCTAGAAACCCTAATAGTATGTGAGTTGGGCTTCCACACTGAAGCCCATGTAGACATCACGAACTGACCACTGTGCGGCCCGTATGCGCCTTCTCTGCAGCCTTACGTAACTTCCAGGATGTATCATCACGCAGACTGCAGCTTCATCATGTAGCATCACGCAGAGTCGCAGACTGTAGCTTCAGTGTGTAGCTAGTAGCATCACACAGAGTCGCAGACTGTAGCTTCAGTGTGTAACATCGCAGACTGTAGCTTCAGTATCAAAGAGTATGTACACATCACCGTCTACTCAACCAATATGCATACATTGACAGATTCAAGGCACATCAACAAATCTCCACCTTGACTTGAATCCTCATTACAACAACAGATGTACCAAATGCACTGTTATAGTGCCCGATGTACCGAACTTCTCATTTGCCTCAGACGTAGCAGTTTCATCCTTACGATCAGGATGTCTCAGATTCATATGCACTCTTACTGTGCCGGATGTATCAGATGCACGCTTACTGTGCTAGACATCTCTTTGCAGACGAGACACTTCTTCAGACCAGACGCTCCACCTAGAGCCAAGCGCTTTCTTCCCTTTGAAAAACAGATGCTCCCACCGGAGCCACACGCTCAATGCGGAACCAAAATGCTCTCACTAGAGCCGAATGTTCTATCAGACTTCAGAAATTCAGATGCAGAACCAGACATTCTCACTAGAGACGGATGCTTTTTCCAGAGCCAATTGTTTCTCCTGAAGCCATATGCTTCATTCAACGTCAGACGCTCTTTCCAGAGCCATATGCTTCTCCTAAAGCCAGACATTCCTTCTGGAGCCAGATGCTTCCTCTGAAGCCAGACGCTCCTTCTGGAGCCAGATGCTTCCTCCGAAGCCAGACGCTCCTTCTGGAACCAGATGCTCCCTTCGGAGCTAGAAGCTCATTCGAGCGAGACGCTTCTTCACCTTGAAGACCAACTTGTAAGTTGTAGTTTTGCTTCGTACTGGTGGTGTGACTGGAACCCATGTTTGATTCTCTTCAAGGGACTCAATCTCGTCTCCAATTGCAGCTAGCCATTTGTCAGCTTCTAAACGTGGAACATCTTCTCTATATGTGGTTGTTGAACCTTGCAACAAGTACAATGTACCATGTAGGATACCCTTCAACATCACATCAGAATCTTTGAAGATATTCAGAACACCATCTCCGCCAGAGTACTTGAAGCCTCTACTATCAAGCAAACTTAGTGATATCAAATTCATTGACATCGATGGGACATGCCTAACTTCCTTCAATGTGCAGAATTTACCATCATGTGTCCTGATCTTGATGGAACCAATCCCAGCAACCTTGCATGCATCATTGTTAGCCATTTTGATGCTATCACTCTCTACATGCTCGTATGTGGAGAACCATTCTCTCCGTGGACACATATGACAGGATGCTCCTGTGTCTAGAACCCATGCATCAGATTGATGTGTGTCTCCAGCAGCAACAAGAGCAATATCTTCCTCAGACATGTTGTCACCTTCAGCTACAGCTGCAAACTCAGATTGCTTCTTCTTCTTCTTTGGACAATCTGATTTCCAATGTCCAATCTCCTTACAGTAGTTACATACATCATCTGGTTTGGGACCCTTTGAAGAAAACTTCTTGTTATCTCTTCTATGTCCTCTACCCCCACTGACAAACAGTCCAGCAGCTTGATTGTATGTATCTGTACCAGATGCTTGATGGCGCAATTCCCTGCTGTGAAGTGACGATCTGACTTCTTCCAGCGTTATAGTATCCTTACCATTTATGAATGACTGCACATAGTGCTCATAAGATAACGGTAGGGATACTAACAGAAGTAAAGCAGCATCCTCATCCTCCACCTTAACATCGATATTACGCAATTCTAGTAATAGCGTGTTCAGCTGATCTAAGTGATCCCTGAGTTGCGTACCTTCATCCATTCTTAGAGCGAACAGACGTTGCTTCAGAAGCAGCTTATTCGTTAGAGATTTTGTCATGTACAACGACTCTAACTTCCCCCACAGACCAGCAGCAGTTGTTTCACTAGAAACCTCGATGATGACATCGTCTGCAAGACATAGCAAAATCGTTGCGTGTGCCTTCTCCTCCAGACTCGTCATCGCAGCAGCATCGCCCTTGTCTTTCAACAGCGCCACCCACAAGCCTTGTTGCTTCAGCAACGCTTGCATCTTGATCTGCCAGAGACTGAAACTGTTTCTCCCTGTGAACTTGTCGATGCTCATACTGTACCCAGACATCTTCTCACCAGATGCGGAAACCCTAGAACCTGGCTCTGATACCAGTTTGTTATAACGGATGCGAGAAGAAGCAGTAAAAGTAAAGAACACGACACAGAATTAACGTGGTTCACCAACGATGTGTTGGTTACATCCACGGGCAAAGGAGACTGATTTATTGATGGAGGCAGAAAGTTTCAGAATACATCAACATTAGGATAACGAAGTTACTTATAGGAAAGACCTAGAAACCCTAATAGTATGTGAGTTGGGCTTCCACACTGAAGCCCATGTAGACATCACGAACTGACCACTGTGCGGCCCGTATGCGCCTTCTCTGCAGCCTTACGTAACTTCCAGGATGTATCATCACGCAGACTGCAGCTTCATCATGTAGCATCACGCAGAGTCGCAGACTGTAGCTTCAGTGTGTAGGAACACACAGAGTCGCAGACTGTAGCTTCAGTGTGTAGCATCACATCAGAGCATGTACACATCACCGCCTACTCAACCAATATGCATACATTGACAGATTCAAGGCACATCAACAAAATTTTACTTACACGATCTTATAATATGATCCATTTTAAATGGAAGTAAATCTTAGCGGACAAACAAACTCACAAGTTCATATGCATCATCGAACCATCCGATATTTGTAATACTACAGATTAAAAACCAAATAACACAAAATTAAAACAAGGGTTAAATGCTTTTTACTGAAGAAATTTTGGTAAAGACCGATGTTTATGACCAACAGAAGAATCAAGTTACCAGCAGCAAAACCATAAGAGCAAGATTTATGATGCCATCTCGTCTCTACTGCACGAGTTTTCTCAAAATCATAGATCACATAGGATTCCTTATATGTTGAAAAGTTGTGGCATCATTTCCTTATGTTCCAAGTAACTTACAAAATGGAATCAGACATATATACACAGAGCTGAACCAAAGTAGATCGAAACCATCTGAGATTTGCAATACTAGAGATTAAAGACCAAATCATACAAAATTAAAATCAGGATAAACAATGGAGGATAAAGAAAAACAGAATCATATATAGCTACAAGCAGAAAACCGATACGAGCAATTTTGCAACACGGAAAATATCATTAAGGTGCTTATTATATATAGCTCTGTTTTTATTATTTTGCAAAAAAAAGTAAAGCTCAGTTTTCATACAATGCACAAACATGCGTACCTCATATCATATTAATTACCAAAAATTAACACAGTCATTATTTTTTTGGTTGATGCTTATATTAAAAACACAGTTTCTTTGATAAATATACATTCGAGAATCTGGATACTTAATGAAAATGTTTTATCTAAGCTTCTCCTCCCATGTTGACAATGAAATATACTATGACAATCGTAGCACGAACAGCATCTGAAAGTGAAGCATACATATAAGTTCACTCACTGATTATACGTTGCAGATAATAGAGCCCAATTTGGATCGTTGCATAAAGTCCCCACTTACTATGTCTTGGGCAGTTGGGCCCATTTAAGATTCTTGCGTATAAAAAGTCAGTCAAAATCTAAAGTCTAGGGTTTTATTCGTCTTAAGCTCTGAAAGCGATTCTAGGGTTTGTACAATCCGCCGCGCCATGGAAAAGTTGGAGCAACAGTTCTCGGAGAATCTATTAATCACCTCCACAAGTGAAACACAACCTCCCAAATCGGTAAGAGAACACTACTCTGACCCGATCCCAGTTGATCTACTTGTCGAAATATTCTCTCGAGTCCCGGCAGATTCTATAGCAAGGTTCCGTTGCGTATCGAAATTCTGGGGTTACATACTTGGTCGTCCTGATTTCACAGAGCTGTTTCTGACCAAGTCTTCCACTCGTCCACGCCTCTTATTCACCTTAACGGCTGATGATGGCAAGTTACTATTCTACTCTTCACCCCAGCCTCAAAATCCCGATGATAACTCTACTGTTGTAGCCACTCGTTATCATACGTCTTCTTACACATATTTTCCATCTTGGTACTCTAATAAAATCCTTGGATTGGTCCTTCTTCATAAAACTTATAATAGAAAGGTGCGGCTGATTTGTAACCCTGTCACGGGAGATTTCCTAACCTTACCCAAACTGCTTGTGGAAGACAAAACCATAACCGGAGTGGAAGCTAGAGCTAAGGCGATTAATGGAGGAATCCATTTGGGATACGATCCAATCAGAAAACAGTTCAAAGTGTTGCGTATGAACTTGTCATGTGGTGAAAGACCCAATACTCATCATGTTTTGACATTGGAGTATGGAAAACGTTTGTGGAGAAGTATCGGATGCAAATATCATTTTATAGAGAATGGTAGAAAGTTTGGTGAAGTATGCATAAATGGTGTTTTGTATTTCGGAGCTGTGTTGGGACGATATTGGGTGATAGTTTGCTTCGACGTTAGGTCTGAGAAGTTTGGCTTTATTAAGATAGATAAGTTAGGACAATATAATGTTTATGATTATTTGGAGTTGTTCAACTACAAAGGTAAATTAGGTCTACGCACATACGGCGGAGGTCAACTTTTGTTTTGGGTGCTAGAAGATGCTGAAAATCATAAATGGTCCAAGCATATCTACGAGTTGCCTCCTTTAATCAGAGGTGAGTTGCCTCCTTTAATCAGAGGTAAACTTTTTGGAATGACTGCTACAGGTGAAATACTGAAGATAGCTTCTTCTACAGAATCACAGCTCAGAATTGAAATTTGAACCACGAAAGTTACAAACTTTCCCAAATAAGAAACTGAGAGATACAAGAGCGAGGAAAGTCACAGGAAAGCACACCTCGTTGCTGAAGTAGAATCTCCGAGCTCGGAAGGATTTCGTCGGGATAAAATTGGCACCGGACTTCAGATTCCGAGCTCTAATTACAACTTGTCTGGAAAACCAATACACGTCAGAATCCAATTCAGCTAATACTGACGACAAAAAAAGAGATGAAAATCTGGAGACAGAAGAAGACTCACCCTTCTTTGACCATCTTCGCATCAGGAGTCGGAGAAGATCGCATGAGCTTGGAGACGAAGTAGCGGAGAATACCGATGAGAACCATCACGACGGAGAGAGGGATCAAAACCCAGTCTCTGATCGCCGTATCGAGCACTAAATCTTCCGCCATTTGATAATCAAGTGATTTATTCCTTCACTACTTCTACTCTGAGCTCGATCCGGTGAGGAAGATACAATCGGAGGAAATCGAGACGCCGACGATAATTTTTCACATTAAATTATTAATTTTTAATTTTGGATAAAATATTTTTTTGAAACCTTCTGTTACAGCGAGAGGGTTTCGTAAGCCCTAACACTATCAAATACTTTAAAACGCGCTATTAATTTCTTTCTCGCCACTTTTCTTTTCTTCTCTGAGCTCTAACACGAAGAAGATGACGGTCGAAGCAGTGAACCCTAAGGCGTATCCGCTTGCTGATTCTCAGCTTGCGATAACAATCCTTGACCTTGTTCAACAAGCTACTAACTACAAGCAGCTCAAGAAGGGAGCTAATGAAGCTACCAAGACACTGAACCGTGGGATCTCCGAGTTCGTTGTGATGGCTGCTGATGCTGAGCCTCTCGAGATTCTTCTCCATCTTCCTCTGCTTGCCGAAGATAAGGTTAATTATCATCTCTTTACTCTCACTTTTTGTATTCCGCTGTGTATGAATTTGATGCGTTTGTGTAATATTTGGTTCTTCTGCTAAAATAGTTTTGTGACATCTGAGAGGATTTTTGATGCGTCTCTTGTATAATTTATATAGCTATTCGATTGCTCTCTCATGTAGAGTGTAGCTTCAAATTCACTCTTGAGAAAGATTTGTTTCATTGTAGCTACATAACATTAGTATCTGTATCACACATTACTATCTGGTCTGATTTTTAACCAAACCTTGTCTTTTCTTTTTCTGTGAATGATTGAAGAATGTGCCGTATGTGTTCGTACCTTCGAAACAAGCGCTGGGAAGAGCATGTGGAGTGACAAGACCGGTGATTGCTTGCTCTGTAACATCGAACGAAGCAAGCCAGTTGAAAACTCAGATCCAGCAGCTCAAGGATGCTATTGAGAAGCTCCTGATCTAAGGATTTGTTGTCGGTATGAAGAGTCTCTGCAACTTGGGAAAAGGCTCTGACTGAAAGTTAGTTTATGCAACTAAGTTATGGATTTTAAGAATCTACTCATTTGAAAATTTTGGTGTTGTTGTGTTGAACTCTTTTCATTTATGCAATGGAGTTTCTTAAGTTTGGATCTTCATGCTTTGCTTATGCTGTGGAACATCATGACAGGTTAAATGGTTGATATTTAAAATCAAAATTGACAAAGAGCTCTTCAATGGTCCCATTAACAGGAGTTAAATAATATTCTTATCTTCCCCACATTTGTTTGCTTTGTCTACCAAACATTCATTGATTCGTTTCTTCCACACTTTGCTTAGTTTTTAGTTTTTACCTAAAGGAAATCGTTCTTCCATCACAAAAACTATAAAGTATCATAATCTTATGTAATCAGAAAAACCAATCAAATTAATGGCATCCTCATGTATGGCTATTGCGCAAACATTTTCATCTAAACTATGTCCAGGGATTAATAGCTTTAGCATATGTTCAGATTACAGAAATAACTTTCATGTGTTATCAACGAGTCGAAACGGTTCTGTGAACCATAGTATAAGATTGGACCAATTACAGTCAAATCTAAAGACTCTGAAACATCAGATAAGGGCAAGAAGATTAGGTAAAGAATGGGAAGAGAAAGAAGAGGACAACAAAGAAGAAGAAGACTACCGATCAGAAGAGAGTGACGAAGAAGACCATCGATCAGAGCAGGACAACGAAGAAGACGATCGAGCAGAGGAGGCTGTTCTAAAACTATATACAGATATCAAGGACCGAAACATTGATGGAATCTCAGAAGTTATTGGAGATGAATGCCAATGTTATTGCAACTTCTTGTCTACTTACCGACTCTTACAAGGCAAGAAGGTGAAATCATTATTAAACTTTCCTCTCAAGTCTTTTAGAAAGCTTTTTCTTCGAAATAGGTTATGTTATGAAGGTGTTTATGGTGTTTTTTAATGGCAGAAAGTGATGGCTTTCTTCTACTGGTTGATAATGAAGCTTGGGAAAGATATCAAGATTGTTGTTAGACCAACCTCCAAAGATGGCATGACCGTTGGTGTTCAATGGCAACTCGGTTAGTCTATCCTTCCATATCACCAGACCAGGATTTTACCTAACCGGGGAAAAAACCAGACCAGACCGAACTGGCCATCCTATTGAACATTTGAAATGGTTGTTCTGACGACGGTTTACATGTAATGCGCAGAATGGGAGAAGCAACACATCCAATTAGGGAAGGGCGTTAGTTTCCACATTTGCCATATCTACCAGGGAAAGCTGTTGATAAAGTCAGTAATCATTCCGGTCTAAACTCGGTTTTCATATCGGTTATAACCTGTGATCATGACCATTTTTGAACCAAAACAATGCAGGAATGTGGAGATGTTCATGGAGCCAATCTTTCACATAGAGCCTCTAAGACTAGTGAGACTCTAATATTAATCTCTCACATCATGCCATCTTCATAAGCTTTTATGCGAAAAAAACATTTTTCTTATTCTGTTGTAGAGAACAATGGCATTTGCAGTGAACTTGGCTGAGAAGATTGTCACTTTCTTGAAACCAGCAAGGAGACAAGCAATGACAGTTCTGCTATTTACTGTTCTACTACTTGCTGCAGTCGCTTTCTACTTCACGCAACCAAGACTCTGATATAAAACACAGCAAATAATATGGGAGATAGCAGAGAAATAAACCCATTCAAAGATAAGATTTTCTTCTATCAGTAGGATGCAAATATTTCCAACCGGGAACACATAGTTAAACACAAGATTTTTTTTTTTGTTTTCCTAAAACATTCATGGGGGAATGGTGTTAAATACAAAACATCTCCACCATTTGACCCTTACACTAGAGTTTTCAGTACACTTACGATATCATCAACCTAACCATTTCGATACACAACAACCAACTAAAACAAAAGAACCCAAAAAGGGAGATGGAAAATAGCATTAAAGGGAAGTTAAAAGTTGAACAGGTTCTTTTCTTCACTATCCGAGTTCTACACCCACCAGTCATAAGTAGGTTCCCTAGATACACCTGCAAGAGAATTGTCATACAGAACTCAATTGCTGCTTTTGAGGACAATGTTGATGTATAAATTATCATGAATCTATGAAAAATCAAACTTGACTTACACTAGTAGTTCCTAGTTAATTAAGTCAGGCCAGAAGATTATCACGACCGCTTGTACATATGGCGCCTAAGCATCTCATTTATCCCCACAGCTGAAATGCTTTCACATCCAAGAAGATCACGGAGCTTTTCATCACACTGAATCGCCATTGGATTCACCGGATCCTGTATACATATTGAAAAGCAGAGTAAACACAGTGCTTAGCTTTCTTTGTTTATGGCTATTTAAAAAAGCTCACAAGGACTTGAGATAAAATCTTCACCTCCAAATTGTTGAGCTTTATGTATTCCCACACACGGCGAATAATCTCTTCGTCTGTCATCTCCATCTCACCAGTGCCAAAGAACTTAGCAAGTGGCTCAGATAATGCAACAGTCGAACTAACAGGCTCTGTGGTGGTCTCAGTCTCAGTCTCAGTCTTAGCCTCTACCTCAGCTTTCGCACGTTTCGCTTGACAAGCGTCCTCTGCCAAATGTCATTTCAAACAGTCAGTAAAATTGAACCAACCATAAGACATTTAGAGTTGAGCAAAAACAAACTTGAAATAACGAAACACTTACTTGATGGATCAAGCGGGAGAATATGCTTAGCAAGCAACTTATTCATTTTGAACATGTCAGTGCAATCAGTCTCAAACACCACACGCAACGCATCATCACAGATGATCTTCCGCTTGTTACTTGGGTCTTGGAGGTTGTTCTTCCTTATGTAAGCCCACAGTTGCCTCACAATCTGATACCAAAAAAGCCAAAAAGATCAACACTTTAATAACAACAATCCCAATTTGCTTATACACATTAGAATGAATGGAAGATGGTGATAACCTCAGTTCTGGGAAGAGCAGGTTCACCAACAACGACTTGAAGTTCTGGAGAAACTCTGCAGACTTTGTTTAATCCTCCAGGACCACCCTTTCTTTTAGTTCCAGCTGGAGCACTGCAATGGGCAAAGTTGACAAACCCAAATCATAAAACTTGAATTCACCTACCAAATTTACAATTTTTGGATGAATTGCTTGATATTTTGGGCAAAATGACAGAATGTTGTGTATCAATAACCACTATAATAGAGAGGTGTATGTATCAATGAGCTAAAAATATCACTCGATGGATAAATCTAAACTTGGGCATGTAAATCTAAAAACCAGCAAATGAACAAAATTGGCCCAAATATTTAGACATTCCTAATAAGGAAATCCCTCTCACTGGGAAAGACCGCAAATTCAATTCATCCCTGGAATATGTTGCAAACCCTAGAAACCCCCAAAAAACGGACCTTTCTTTCGGAGCTTGATTAACAGAGAGAGCAGCGTTGGGGCCTTGTGAAAACATCAAGTTGGTTCCTTGCCGCGGAGACTGCTGCTGGTGCTGCGGCGGCATGTAAGCCGGATACGGCTGCCGGAAATTGAGGTCATAAGAGTGGTAAGGAGGCTGGAGAGAGAAATGCGGAGGGTATTGTTGGGAATGCGAAGCAGAGAATTGAGACGGGTGGTGAAGTGCGAAATGCCCTTTTGTCGCCGGAACATTGACGCCGGAATGCACATGCTGTTGCTGCTGATGCTGATGATGCTGAGACGGTGGCGGCGGGGGTTGTACGGTCGATGCGGAAGCTGAGGCGGAAGGTGATGGGTGAGCGCGGAGGAGGAGATTGATGTGGTCTCTGATGAAATTCGTCTTCTCCGTGAGGTCTAACCCTAACTTGGCCTCGAGCTGCTGAATAACACTGTTCACCGATGTGAGAGAGCTGGGGTCGGATTGCCGGAGCAAAGTCTCGACTCCTTTCGCTAGATCCTGGTCCGACACCATTGACGAGAGAATTTCAAAGCTTTTTCTTATACCAGAGAGAGAGAGAAAAAATTAAAAGGAAGGAAAAAAAAAACAAATACCCCACAAGAAAAAAAAAACAACAAATCTCTATCTGTTTCTCTCTCTTATCCTCTCATTTTCTTTGCTTCCTCTCTCTCTCTCTACCCTTGTCTCTTTCTCTCTCTTCTTCGTCGTCTCTGTCTTTCTCTCTATCTCTCTCTTTATAACTCTTGAGAATGACGAATATGCCCTTCGGAGTTGGTTTTGATTTATCCAGTTGACAGCAAATGTCGATATTACCCTTGTGAGTCATGGTGTCTATGGCTTCGTAGGTAGAGGGTATTATCGTCGTTTTGGTAACTTCGTTGCTTTTTACTTCCAGGCCAGCTGGCTTTAACTTAAAACCCATCTCTTCACTCGATGTAAATTGTCGGATATATCCCCGTAGATTTTGACGCGTTTGCTGTTGTTGGTTTCGAGTTTCGAGAAGCTTGAGGGTGTTGATGGAATTTTGATCAGTATTGGATCGTGAATCTTTGATACAGACAGACAGGTTAATAATATCTTGACAAAAAAGTACAGATTATTGACAAATAAGATGAACCTATATGTATGTGTAGATCCATGTAAATGTATGTTGGCAAAGAAAAAAGATATAAATAATACTCTTAAATTAATATTGCTATTGGGCTAGAACAAAAAGGCCCAATAAGAAATATAAATCCTTAGAAGAGCGAGCGAATCAATTGGGCGGAGACTAGAGTCTGTTCTTCAACTTTTTTAGGTTGCAACACTCTTCGTATTGGCGATTTTTCGAATTTTCTCGGGAAAATCTGTAATTGAGGGTTATGCTCGAATAGATTGACGAGCATCGTCTGTTTTGATTGAAGTCCAGCCGTCTAGGGAGTTTATTTTGAAGAATCGTTGCTTTTTCGGGTTGAGGATCTTCGTGTTAGCTGGTATTCTGTGCTCTAGGGTTTTGAAGCAAGTTGCGCAGAGGAATTTCGAGGATGAAAACTGAGAGAGAAGTTAAGAATGGTAGTGCTGAGGAAGAGAGAGAGATGAAGCGGAAGAGAGTGATGGAACGGTCTGCTTCGCCACCTCCACCGCTGGGTTTCAATAACCCCCTTTTGCCGCTGGCTAATGCTTACGATGACGACGATGAGGATGAGGAAAACGATAAGAGAAAATCGGGAGCTCGTGCCAGTGGAGGGAAGGATAATGGAGCTGGGAATGGGAACAAAGTCGGAGGAGAAGCTGAAAAGGAGCTCGATGACGAGGACGATGATGATGACGAGGCCTCCAAGGTGCGGGGAAAGCATTCACGCCATGTTGAAGTTCGTCGTGATTGTCCTTATCTCGATACCGTCAATCGTCAGGTAAATCATCCTATTGACCAATTTCTCTTGCGTTTGGTAATTGTAATGTATCTAATCGATAATCAATGGTGATGTTTCTTCCGATTTGATCAATGTTGTTTGTTTTGAGATGAGCATCTGAATCGATTCCTTGCGTTTGAATTTCAGGTCTTGGATTTTGATTTCGAGAGGTTTTGCTCCGTCTCCTTGTCAAATCTAAATGTGTATGCTTGCCTCGTCTGCGGGAAGTACTTCCAAGGAAGAAGCCAAAAGTCTCATGCGTATACGCATAGCTTGGAAGCTGGACACCACGTTTACATCAATCTTCTGACTGAGAAGGTTTATTGTCTTCCTGATAGCTACGAGATCAATGACCCTTCTTTGGATGACATTCGACATGTTCTAAACCCAAGGTATGTTAATTCTTGTGCCTACTTCTTCTTACTACATTTTGTGCAGTCCTTCTCCATGTTCAAACTATTTCTGCCTGCATTGATTTGTGAACTTCTTAAGCCTCTTGAACGTGATTAACAAAAAAATGTCTTCGACTATTGTTTCAGTTTCTTCCTGCTAGTTCTCTGTGTCATTAGCCACCCATTTTATATGTTGCTATGATAACTTGAATACATAACACTATTTCTGCTTGCTTGCATTGATTTGTGAACTTCTTAAGCCTCTTGAACGTGATTAACAAAAAAAAATGTCTTGGACTATTGTTTAGTTTCTTCCTGCTAGTTCTCTGTGTCATCAGCCATCAATTTATATGTTTTTATGATTGCTTGAATACATAACTCTTGTTTCATGCTCTCTCAATTGTATTTTCAGTTCCTTCTTATCAAGGCGTTGGTGTGCTATCCATTTACAGGTTTAGTAGGGCACAAGTTGCAGAGCTTGACAAGAATAGGCAGTGGTCTAGGGCTCTTGATGGCTCTGACTATCTTCCCGGAATGGTAATTATCTCTCCATCAAACACAGTTGATCTTTGCGTAAACTTGTCTCCTAATGGTTCTTTATCCTTGTATATATGCAGGTGGGTTTGAACAACATACAAAAGACAGAGTTTGTGAATGTCACAATCCAGTCGCTGATGAGAGTCACTCCCTTGAGGAACTTCTTCCTAATTCCCGAGAATTATCAGCATTGCAAGTCTCCTCTTGTGCACCGCTTTGGGGAACTCTTTCGAAAGATTTGGCATGCTCGAAACTTTAAAGGACAGGTCTGACTTGATACCTGCCTCTCTCGTTTTTACTGTTTTTATATGCCTTTACCTATGTAGAACCTTGCTAATCGAAGTTACCTTGTGTGAACAGGTGAGTCCACATGAGTTCTTACAAGCTGTCATGAAAGCCAGCAAGAAACGATTCAGGATAGGCCAACAGTCTGATCCAGTGGAGTTTATGTCGTGGCTCCTCAACACTCTGCACACGGATCTTAGAACTTCAAAGGACGCCAGCAGTATAATCCGAGCATTTCTTCCTGTGTAACGCTGCTGCAGCTGTCCTGTTTGGTTCTTCTTGGAAGCAGACTTTTCGACACGGGCTTTGCGTACAGCTTGTTGTATCTGCTTCTCGTGCTCTTTTAGCAAATCTTCAAGATTCCCACCAGGTGGCATCAATGGTCCTGAGTAATGGATTCTGTTCTTCCTTGGTGCATTTCCCTTAAACACACACCCCAATACAACAATCACATACCAAAAGGTTACGGTGCATAACAAGAGGAGATAAAAAAGATGCTTACAGTAGAGTAGTCTCTGTTGGAGTCTCTCCTATAAGAACCACCAGGCAAGTCTCCTGTTTGTGATATCCTAGGCTGATTAGTTTGTTGTCTCTTGATGCTTCCACCTCTGTTCCATTCCGTATCAGCAACACTTGGGTGAACCATTGAAGAAGCATGACCATTCTGCTGGATCCCTCTTCTCGGTGGTTCGATCCTAAACCCGGTCCCACCTTCCTCGTCTGTTTTGAACTTATGGCTGATGCAAGTGACTTTGGACTGCCCTGCTGCCATAAACTCAGGCGTCTGTGCAGTTTTGAGATCTTTTGGCCGTCCTCTTGTCACGGTTTCTCCTCCTCTTCTCTTGTTGTTATCTTCTGCTCTTAGTCTGCAAACCAAGAACTACATAAGAAAAGACCCTCACGAGTCAAGAGAGAAAGAACAGTGAATTGAAGATTCTTACTTTCTTGCTTCCTCGTTGCGTAGCTTAGCGTCAAGCTCCTTGCTTGGTGGGTATCTTGGTAAGTTTGATGGATTAGCTGGGATTGGCTCCGTTGTGAAGAACTGAAGAGAAGAAAGTTTTTAAACTAATCATGAGAATGCATTTGATAAAGAAACATAAATTTCTGTTTAAGTATGATAAGATTACTTCGCTTCTTAGGGCAGAAGCAGCTGATCCACGCTTCTCAGGCTCTATGGCAAGTAGCTTATTGATGAGAGACAGAGCTGATGCAGGGAAATGACTAAAGGTCTCAGCAAGAACAGGCTTGTAAGGATGACTCGGTTTAAAGCTTGTTGCTAGTGGCAGTGTTGCTCTTCTCCAGTAGTCTTCTGAAGGCGAACCACATAGCTTAAAGATCTTGTGCATTTGCTCCACTTCGGTGCGTCCTGGCATGATAGGTTTTCCGGCAAAGAGCTCAGTGAGAATGCAACCGGCGCTCCACAGGTCTATCGCTGGTCCATACTCAGTGGCACCGAGCAACAGCTCAGGCGCTCTGTACCATAAGGTTACAACGCGGCTAGTCAGCTGAAGATCTCTATCACCTCGGTAGAAGTTAGCCAAACCGAAGTCACCAATCTTGAGAACACCTTCGTTGTTAATCAAGAGATTTGATCCTTTAATGTCACGGTGGAGTATTCCTCTTCTGTGGCAGTGTTCAAGCCCACGGAACAGTTGCTGCATATAGCACTTTATCTGAAAAACCAAGTCAGACTCTTGAAAGTTCCAAACTTTAGGAAAAAACAGAATGTGTGAATATGTACCTGAGTTTCAGAGAATTTGATGCCAGGAGTTGCGGCAAGACCAGCAAGATCGTGTTCCATGTACTCAAAGACAAGGTAGAGACTACCTGAGAGTCTAGAGGTGACTAGACCTTCAAGCTTCATGACATTAGGGTGGTCAAGTTTGCGGAGAATGAGAATCTCTCTGGCCATAAACCGGACACTCTCTGGATCCATATTCACAAACCGAACCTTCTTCATTGCCACGATCTTCCCTGTTTCCAAGTCTCTTGCTTTGTACACGCTGCTGTATGTCCCCTGTCCAATCTATAACAATACACATAACATAAAATTACTATTTCACTTCTTAAAGATTCAGAGAGCAAAAAAGATGATTTCTTTAATTGAATGATCAAACTAACTTTGTCTAACTTCTCATATGAGTCTGCACAGCGAGGAAACCATCCTTTGATGGCTTCTCCGGCGACAGAAGTTAACCAAGACGGCCATTCTGCGGTGGTGCGTTCTGTTTTATTGCTAATCAAACGCGGTGGCTGCTGCGTTGGCTGCACCACTGGTATTGCCGTGACTCTTCTGCTGGGAGCTCCCACAATAACCACTTGTTTGGTGCTGTTTCGATCAGATGAAGATGACGTGGAGGGACGGCGAACCACTGGATAACCATTAGCCACGACGGTGATGGAAGTTGCAGGAGTGGGACGCGTGAAAGATCCTTCCTTTTTGGATGAAGACGATGATGATGACGGTGGATGAGGGATTAGCTGAAGGATGGATTTGCTGGAGTCTAATAGCTCGTTGTTTGCAACGGCGGCGTTTGGAGAACGAGCGGTGGCGCAAATACAACCCATTTACAAACAAACAAGCATTAAGCTTTTTGCCGATTTGGTTTATCTATTTCTCTACTAAGGTGATATGGTCGGCGACCAAAGTCTTTCATTTTTTGTTGTTGTTGTCTTTCTCACGTTTTTGTGTGTTTGTTGTGATAGAAAAGTGGAACGTGCGTGCCACTCTTTGTATGTATTTTTGTTTCCTTCTAGATTCAAATAATGAGGAGGAATGGTCAACTCCTGATTTTTGTTTCTTCCG